ATAAAGAAAGATAATTATTTTGTTCATCGAAATTTTAAAATACTTATAACTATGAGGACGGAATGAAACTATAGAAATCTTAAAAAAAGAAAATGTATGGATGATAAATGAACTAATTAACTCTAAACATTATCTGATAACTTAACAGTTGTTATCCAATGGAAAACAGGGATATTCATTTAATGAATGGGTTTCATTGCGGATCAATATTTAATTTCTAACTTTATTGACTAATACCCTGAATTCTCAAAACAGGGGTTCGACAGAATTAGGATATAGGTGGCCTTGTAAGATGATATTGTGGGATCCCTAGCAAATCAAGTTTTTCAAATTAGTTTCAGAGCAAAAATTTTTTTATTTTAATATTTTGGAAGGAACTTCATTTTTTTATAGCAATAAATTCTTTATGCTTAGTAGTGGTCTTTCTTCAATATATGATAATGATTCTTTGAAACCATTACATAAAATAAAAATAAATATTTTTTAGGGTATCATTATAGTTTTTAGTAAAATAATAAATAATCCCCCAAACATTTAGCCAAAACTCCTCTACGAAAAGTCTTTTAGAGATATTATTTAAACTTAAAGATGGAATTTAAATCATAAAACATTTTTGAAAAATTCTAATTTGTTCCAAATAAGCAATAAATACAGTAGGAATTTATTGTTAAGAGTACGAGTAGAAAAAGTCATTAATTTTTCCATTTTAGTTCCTCTATACTTAAATTAGTTGAGCATATACAATATATAGTAAAGTTACCTAATAAGGTAGAGAACATAAATAATAATTAGCTTATTCCATTCAAGTCGAGCATCAACTGAATAATTTGGAATAAAATATTATAGTCATAAAAACACTCTTCTGAAGCTAAGATTTTCAAGAACAATTTTCTTTAATAAAATTTATCATAAAATCTATCACAAAGTGTTAATAGAATAGCTAGGCTTCAAAAATTAAATTTCTTAGTTAGTTTAATTATTTCATTTTATAATAGAATATGTCTAATTTTAATAAATCCCCTTATGTTCACACCATGATTAAATGCTTTAGAGGAGCAAACTATCAAGACTTACTCTTTTTCAACGATTTTGGTAAAAAATTAGTTAATTTTCATGGAACAATAGAAAGGGTTAGCTATATTGAATGCCTGCCATAAAAAAATTATGACGATTATTACCAATGCGAAATTGTCAAAATTCCACCTTAATCCTGATTTTGCTTTGAATAACTTAAAGAGCAGATTTAAACTGTCATAGAATAGCCTTATTCTTCTTTCAGCAATAATGGATCAGATAATTGTAAACAGCTTTTATAGAAACTGAATATACATTAGATACCATCTGCCAACTTTGATAAAAAGGGTCTGATTGCATGATTGAAAAATATAGATCAACAATTTATCGAAAATTTTTATATTTCAAATTAAAAACTAGGATTTTCTATCAAATATCAACCATTCCTTTCTAAGGATTTTCTAGCTAAGCGTGACACTTTATCTTAGGAGTCATCCATATAGTAGAAATAAACAGAATTATTGAAGTGCAGGTACTTGAATAATTTTTGAAATTTTCGATTTACAATTCCCTCTTCCAATCATTCCTTGTAAAAAATTAACGCTGATTTTGATCTTAAATGCATCATCTCTAATTTACTCATGATTACAAATAGCAATTCTATTAAATTAGTTCAAAATAAGAAAAAGTGAAAAATCCTACATCCAATTGAGAAGTTTGAAAAAGACTATATTCTAGGAAAAACCAAACTACTGGCTCCGCCTAGTTGTTTTCATTAAATCATAAAAAATGACTGGAATAAATATGCATGCAGACTACACCCAAATGTTATTATCTTTCAATATTTTGGAACAACTGAGAGAATTAATTTAGGGCAGTAAATTAGGATATCAAATAAAACAAAAAGTGAATTTATGTTTCTTTATTATTTGAATTTTCAGAAGCATACCTAATTAACCACTTAATTATATTTCAAGTTATACTATTCTTCCGTATTCAAATGCATTCATTAATTAACAACCCTAAACTTAAATTTTATGATTCTTCGGTTATTTTAACTTGAATATAAATGTCCACCAATCGTTTGTTACTATATATTCTAAGGTATAGGATTGATCAACGTCATAATAAGCTTTCAATTTAATGTAGTATTTTTAATGAAAGCTAAGGCTTGTTGATTTAATTTCTCTAACATTATTAAATGTCCATTTATTGATTTTTAGCACTTTTGGAGATTTTTTACTAATCTTACAATTGATATTTGCTAATTTAAAAATTGTTAATCCTTATTTTCTCCATAACAATCTAATCATTTTTTGAATCCATAATTGAATTTGTATTCTAGGAATAGGAAAAATGATTAGTTGTTATGTTAACAATTTTTTTTATTTTGATATTTGAAAATTTGAAGCATAAATTTAATTGCAATAATAATTTGAAAATAGTCTATGAAGTTTTAATTTATTTTTTGGCTTAAACATTTTTTGGGCATTCATCTCTAAGAATAGGAGTTTCCCTGAATAATAGCTAAGTTTTTAAAGCTAATCTAAGTGAAAAAGTTTAACAATTTAAAAGGAGACTAATCTAACGAGGACTTTAAATATGGGAAGAGAATACTAATTTTAGATGAAGGTATTTTATTAAATAATTATAAAACAATTTTATTAATATAATCAACTCATAATATGCACTCTGATTTAATATGCTGTAATTTAGATTGAAAATGTGTAAATTCATGCGATATTGTACTAAAAAATTGTTAATATTAATAATAGTTAATGAATTAGCGCAATTTTGAATGAAAAAAAGCATTCAAGTAATCTTTTTGTTTCTATTAGTCGGAGTAGATGCTAATTTACTAGGTTAGGAAAAGGTTGACAAATTTTCAGGAATACGAATTTGTCTTGTTGAATTTGATGATCTGGCCATCACATTGGCTTCTGATCCTTCAGTTTTTATAGTTTAATCCTCAAACTAATCCTAAATTTGCTTTCTATGTGAATTCTGAATAGCAATTCTATGTAAATCAATGTGCTTCTTTGATTCTGTTTTTTGTAATTAAGTTGTTGGGATATCTAACCATTATATTGAATTAATTACCAGATATATCCCTGGAGCCTAACCTGTTTAATTTACAACTGTATTAACTAAATTTGGAAGCACCAACCACTGAAGGAGCTTTCATTTCAATTTTGGCAAATGAATTATTGGAAACACATGAAATTGATTCAATTGAATTTAAATTTCCTGTAAATGCTGGTTATCTCTATTCTAAATTCAGATCTATAGATCCCATTTTGACATTATTCTTGTAAAACTAATTATAATCATTCAAATTTTGTTAATAATTCTCTTATTTAACTTATTGTTCTTTGGCCAATTCTTTAAAATATGGATGTCTCAAGCACTGTAATAATTTTGTTAAAATTTACTTCGCTTGAACTTAATCTGTCTTGGGGCTTTTTCAACAACATAGCTCTTATTAAATCCTAAAGTTGTATTGGTGCAGATTTAAACAAGGAATCTTCAAAATCAATGATACAATCTTTATTGGCCTTTAAAATGGCCTTTTAATCTTTACCTGAAAATGGTTAATCACCAGTCTAAAATCAATAAATAACTTACAATTAATAGGTACAAGATGATTCCAGCACTAAAAACATCGCATTTCTCATCATAGATTTAATGTCCATCAATATATTCCAATATTTCTGGAGCAACAAACCCAGGAGTACCACATCTTTTAAATAAAATATTATTATCCTGTAATAATGCTGCCAATCCAAAATCTGCTAATACAATATCGTGATTGTTTTCAAAAGATTTCAGCAGTAGATTTTCAGGTTTTAGATCTCTGTGAGCTATATTGAATTGATGCATGTGATTCAATGCAGATAGTAGGTTATAGGCTAGTCTCTACAAGGTTTCAGCTGGTAAAAATCCTATATTATTTTATGTAAAATACCTGTTTCTCTCACCCTTTAAAGTAGTTCTCCTCCTGCCACAATATCAACTACAAAATAAACAGAGTTAGCTGTTTCATGTACTTCATGCAATTTTACAATATTTTGGTGGTTTAATTTTCTCATTACTTTCATTTCATTCAAGAGGCTTTCAATTCCTTTGTGCTATTGCAGCATAAAAGACTTGCTAAAAGCCTTGACAGCGTATTAAGTATTGTTATCTTTTCTGGTGGCAAGATAAACTTTTGCAAAACTTCCCTTTCCAATTAATTTAGAAACCATATAAGCCTCATGAAAATTCTCTAACAAACAAGCTTTTCTTAGGTGGATTTTCCATTGATCATAACAAGACTTGTCAGATAGAAAAATCTCCAAAGTTTTTGTTTGGTATTATAATCTGAACCCATACTGCTCCTCATCAGAATTTAATTGCACTAAATGATCAGCTCCTGGTTCTATATAAGTCAAATGAGTAGTAATGAGAGGTGCACATTTCAATTTGTCTACAGTCACTTTATAAATGTATTCTAATCCAAGTACAATAAAGACTTATTTGACACTAGCTTTTCCTGCAGTCAAAAATTCTTATTCAACTAAAAATGTTTAGGACTTGATATTAAATGAAATTAATTACATCCAACACAGACTTATCACATGTTTACCAAAATTTATTCCTGGTTTTTCCAAAATCAAAGATAGAAATTACTTTTTATTCAGTCATTAATCTATACTACTGACACAAAAATAATAATTTATTAAATAAGTTTGAATTCTCAACACCTTGAAACATTTCATTTGTATCAAATTTATTTATTTATACAATCTTAAACTAAGAATTATCATCCTTTAATTCATTAAATACTTGCTATTTTATCTTTTATATCTATGTCCATCTCCATCACTATAAGATCGCGATATAAACCAAAAATCATTCTGTTCAATCATAGTCAAACCTTAAATGTACCTAAACAATAAAAATACAAAAAATTTGAAGTTTTATGATGTAAGATTATCCTTAACCTTAAAATTCTCAATTTGGATGACTCAACCAATTTATTTGCATTGAGATTCATAAATTATACAGATTTTGTTTTAAATAAATGCAATATTTTTAGTTATATATTTAAAAATTATAAGAACCAAAATAAAATTTAGATGACCCTAAATTCCATATTCCAATAAGCCCAAGATAATATCATTTAGTCATAAGAAATTTTATCATTATAAAAAATTCAAATTTTTAAAATGTGTTGTTTAGAAATTTTTAGAGTAAATGCAATTGGCAAAACCTTTGGTTTCTAATTTTCTTTCCATAAATTGTGATTAATCTTCAAATGTGATTTCCTCTCTCCTTCTCTTCTTGAGATTTTGAAACATAATTCAATAATTTGTTTTTGATGTATATCTCCTCAATTTATTTATACACTAATCCTGATCTTATTTAAATTTTTCATTTACCATTATTGATTTATGTATGATATTGGTATTAGAGAGAGAATTAATAATTATTTCGCTCTTAGAAACAATTATATTCTAATAAATTTTCTTTACAAAAACGAATCTAATACAATCCTTAATTACTACACTTAATTGTTCAAGCTTAGAATCAGCTGAATCTGCGAGGTGTATAAGATTATAAAATTATCCGTTTAAAAAATACTATTTTAATTTGAGGTTCTTATAAATATAAACAATTCAATACATATACATAAAATCTACATCAATCAAAATTGCAAAATACTTCCCATATAATTCAAATGTCCATTGAAGATAACTTGGCTTTTATATTTGATTCAAATTTAATAAAAATAGGGTTCCAGCATATAATTTTGAGGATTGAATAGAAACATTTTTAAATTGTAATATATCATCGTTTTTATATCATTCATTAGCAATCTTAGATTAAATTGATTTCTTTCCAGCAACTAAACTATTTTGCTTTTTAGGATCGAATTTCTAGTGATGAGATCGACATTAACTCGCAGATCTAGATTTGATGAGATCAGACATTTTTTTAAATATTTATTTCATTTTCTTCTAATCTGAATCTGACATAATTTCTTAATTGTTCTCGATAAACTATTAATATAGTCTATGCTCTTTATTAGTCCAATGACCTAAAATATAAAAGTCTAAGAAGTACCTTTCTTAAAATTTTTGCTTTTTTTAGATTTCTTCTTTTTCTTTTTGTTCAAAATTATTATAGTTTCTGGCTTTTTAGAAAGGAGAGATTAATGATTGTCAACAATTGAGGGCGTATCAATTTGTTCATTTTATAAGGATCCATGTAACGTTTCAGAGCACTTTTCAATAATTTGTGTCTTTTTGATTATGTTTTGCTGGTAGTGAATCTAAGGCTATTGAAAGCAGTTGTTTATTCTCTGAAATTCAGAGAAATTGCTGGGGGCGAAGTTTACGTATTGATAATAGGGGTTATACCATGGATATGAATATGAAGGTTGACAAAAGTTGAAAGAACCTAAAGAATGACAGTATTTTTGTACTTTATGAGTCCTGAGGAATATAAGCAAAAGGTAACATTTTGAAGATGTTGAGTTGTAAATAAAAAATAATTATTGTCTTTAAGGATTCATCATTAAGTTTAATTTAGGATCTACATAATATTAATTATAAATAATGTGAAAAAGATTATTAATTTAGGAATTCATAATGATAACCATAAAAAACATTATTATTCAATAGTATATTACAATCATCCTCCTTCTACTCATTGTATCTTTCTTAACAAATTCTGTTAAAGTATTTAATCATATTTGAAATCATAAGTGTCGTTCAATTATAAACATTCTTAAATATGCCTTCTCATCATAAGCATATGAATCTATCTCTATTCTATAAATTTTTAATTGTTAATAATATTTAATTGAGTATTTTTATATACTATTTGTTTTTTTAAATGAATAATTTATTATCGATTTTTCCAATAATTAGTTTGTTTAATTATTTCATGAATGAGTAGCCTTTAGAATTTTAATAAATAAAGTTAAATTTTTTACTCTTACAAATTTTCCTATCGACTACTTTTCCACAATATTATTACTTTTTTAACCGAAATATCTTTTGAGGGAACTTTTGAGCTATATTTGGCATAATAAAAGAAATACTTGAATCTAATTAATTTTATAATGCTTTTAGATACACAAAAGTTATATTGATAAACAATAATAATACATTTATTATAGAAAATTGATATATATTGAGTCAATTCATGCAAGAAAATATATCCAGATGTTGTTAAAACGGTTCAAATTACAAAAAATTGTATCACACGAAATAGTATTGAGATGAAAAGCTATTATTTAAAGAATAGTTTTCTGATGATTAGATTTTTAACTTAAATTAACGATCTAACTAAAAAATCAATATAAATTTTATATTTTTATGTACTTATATGATAAACTCTCACACTATTATGAATTATATCTAGTTTCTCCAAGCTTCTCCTATTTATGAAGGTTCCATCTGGTCTTACAATCTCCCAACAGAACAGTTTTTGTTAAAGAAATCTGTTATATCAATCATTGTCTTTTATTATTTATCAAGACAGCAAGCAATCAAATCAATTTTCATTCTTTATTATTATGGCAATCTTGCAAATTGGGCCAATGCTGAGGCTGGATATGAATCTCCACCGTCTGTATAAAAAAATATGACATGTCTAAATTTATTCAAATGTATTACTTATTGAATTAGTCAAAGTTTTTTACAGCCACAATTTTTTCATAAGCTAATTAAAAGGCACTTTAAAGCTAGTACCACCTCCATTGCATACAACTGCATTTTTTATAGTTTGCATATTGATAGATTAAAAGTCTACAACACATCTTGCATTATCATTGAAGATAATGATTGTAACTTTGATATTCTAATTATTTTTTGCTGATGATAAAAATGAGATTAATCCATTTTAAGCTTGATTAAATCTATCTCCTTGCATAGAACCAGAGTCATCTAATAAAATGACATAATGGAAACTTGGTTATTAGGCTACCTAAAATGTACTTTGATCATCCAAATAATTATATTTCTTCCCTTACCTACTAAATCTATAATGGCACAAATCTTTGCCTATATTTTTCCAAATTAATAAAAATTTCTCTTTGATTTTTTCATCAATATTGTCAGAAAAAACCCAATTTGAGTAGATTTCTTTTATTTAATTAATGTTTCAATTCTTTCAAGTTTGAATTTTTATAATTTTACATATTGTTTTTCTTGGAATTTAATCTTTTCAATTACAAAACCATTAAAGTATTTGGAAGAAAAACAAGAAAAGATGAACAGAATGGCTTTATAAAATCCTTGGTGCATCATCTGGATTATCTAATTAGGTGAAAAACTAAATGGCTTAAGAATTTTTTTGACTTGTTATGAAATGTTTTATAACTTCTAAAGCAAATGGTTTAAGTCTTTCATCTAGTTATCCTGTAATTTCTGATTATATTAAGTTGTAATTTGTTCTCTTATTTTATTTGTTCTCTCATTAACCTCTTTCACAATAAAATCTACAGGATTGTCTATATACTATAGAGTTTTATCTAAAGAATATTATTTCTCATTTTTATTAAATAATTTGGTGTCAAGTTCAGCAATTAAATCAAAACTTTACATTTTAGGATCATTTACAAATTGATTTAATGTTTCCCGAGCATCCTTTGCAAAATTAACTGAATTTTGCCTAATTGATTATTTAATAATTTCTTTGGCAATGACTTTCCCATTTAAAAATGATTATTAGCTTTAATCTTGTTTTATATCAGCCAAAAACCTTTCAAATATCTCCTATTTCAATAAAATTAGGTTTTATTCTTATTTTTTGTATTATAAATGTTTTTAATAACATTATATCCTCCAAATTACAAATATTGCAAAGTTATACAATAATCCTTATCCAATATCTCCTAAAATGGCTCCATACTTAAAAAAGCATTAATTCAATTGATCAATCTTAATTTCTAGCTCATCCATTATAGTTTGGATCGTGGTTGCATCTAATGTTTGATTGTATCTATATTCTTTTATCACAGTGTCGTAGATCAAGGAATAAATATGTTTCCAGTCACTCTTAAAACTCATTATCTCATCGAAAAATCCATAATCTATTTCGTTATTACTATAGTTTGAAAATTTACTAATACTAACCTTTTCATTGAACAATAGTTTTTTATGTTTGATAAATATTTGATTTTTTTTGAATTCTTTCATATACTCTTAATATTCATTAAGTTCAATAACTTTTTTTTGAAGTCTCAAGTTTAATCCATCTAAAAATTTTAATTCATGAGAAACATGTAGATAGTTTTCATAGTAGGAATTATCTTGAAAAGTTAAATAGTCTAATATCGTTTTTCTTTTTTTGAAAAGAACTAAATCTTCAACTTCATCTAAATTTTCAGTATTCATACCATAACCAAAAATTTAAAAAGACTTTAAAAATAATAAAATTGCTTGTTTTTTATCTTTGCTTTCACAAAATTTTGATAAATCCTTATTATCTTTAGTGTTTAAGAATATGTCTAAATCTATTTTTGAGATGTATTCTAACTCCATATATAAATTAGAAAGGTTGCAATATGAGGAAATTGATTCATTATTTTTGAAGTTCTTTATTTGATGAAGGATGTCTTTGAATATTTTAGAGTATTTTTCCTTCTGAGTTTCTTGCAAAGGTTGTTAATTTATTTCCTGTTTAGTTATTTTATCTGTAAATACAAAGTCAAATGCATTCTTTTGAATCAAATCCTTAGATATTATATCAAAGCATTAATCAAAATCATCTTCTATAGAAGGCTCCTTTTTAACCAGGTTATTTAAAAACTACTCTCTAGACTACTGATTCCCTGACCTAGGAATATATTTTTAGACTTTGTTTTAAATTTTTAGAAATTCAATTTAACAATTTTTATTAAATAAAATTTCTTATTTTTCTTTCAACCTCATTTCATTGTTAATCCAAAATTCATCAAAATTTTCTTTAAACTTATTGTCATCGTTTTAATTAGTTTATGATTAAAGTTAATCTGAACTTAAACTTATTTAAAAATTATTTTACCTTAGAAATGAATTTTGATCATTCTTAAAAAAAAAATTATATCTGAATGAAATTTCAAAATATATTATAATCAATAATCAAGGGATTCGATAGAAATTTTTCTATCAAAGTATAATCAGAGGACTGTAGCCTAAAGAGGCTGCTTCTAATAACTAGAATGAAGTTAGAAGAAAGAAAATAGTGCTGCTTTGATTGGATTTTTATTTAATAGAATTAGTTATTTCACTCTTCAAAAAATATTCTGTGAATCATCATTAGGATTACCATTTAGTATAGAATAATTGAAGCCTTAGCATAGAAGACTGGGCCAAGTTATTTATAAAAAATTTTAGAAACATAATTTAAATGAAATATTTTATTGGTAATGTAGCTATAAATTTTAACCCTATTATTTCAGATGCATATATGATTATTGATTGACAAGAGTGAGATCAGTTTTTTCAATTTGTCAAAGATTATTGGTAGAAAACGATCACACTTACAAAATAGATTAAAATTTAATTATAGTTATGAGTTCAATAAATGATATACTTTTAATCTAAATAATTGAGTTCAATTCAGTACTTTAAATGAATAAATATGTTTGAATGGAATTATAATTGCTTAATTAGAGACCAAAATCTTTTCCTTGATTTAACTGGATATTGCCTATCTAAATGATTGTAATTAGATTTTGCACTAATTAATCTGATTGAGTATCTCTTTAATAATGTAAATAAACTGTTAATCTGATTTATTGAACATTTAAGTAATAGTTAAATTACTTACAACAAAACAACAATCATATTATTATCTAATTCATGTATTAAATTTAAGATAACTAATCTAAAAGCCTATATACATTCTTTAGCTCTTACTTAGTTTAGGTTGAGGGATGAAAACACCATAATAATCACATCAAATATGATATGATCTAGAAATAACAACGAGATGAGATTAAGATTAAGATGGAGATATCGATATGATATATTTTCTATTCAGTTGGAGACATTCTATAGTATTTTTAAACCTTTTAATCAAAATAGTATTTATCAATGCATTAAATAATTGTTATTTTGTAATAATATAAATAAATACACGTCATAATTAAATCAGGTACGTACGAATATTACAACAATATTGTGCCTTTGTATACCTGAGATATTGTATTTAAAATACATATATAATAAATAATGAACACAAGAAGCACACACCTTACAGAATATGCAGTTAAAGAAATCATCTCCGAGAAATTCACTTCTTGGAAATAGATCAGTCCTTCACAGATCAGCATCTCTAGATTGACAGGGTTGACAAATATCACCTACAAAGCTTAGGCTATGATTGACACTACACCTTAAACATTATTGTTTAGAGAGTAATGAGTGTTATCATTTAAAATTAGATTTGGTAATGCAGAAGGATTCGTGGATTCACAACAAGAAAGAATAATTTTTAAATCAATATCTGATCTGGATCTTGGACCTTAGTAATTGGAATGTGGGGACAGGTGGAGAATGGAAGAATTTGTAAAGGATGGAGTACATCCAAACAATTAAAAGATGGCTGATGCTAATTTTTAATTTAAGTCAATGGGAGTTTTATAGAAATTCCATTAGATGGAGATTCCTATATCAAATGATGGTTCATCATTGATTTTAAAGAAGACAATTTCTGAGGAAATGAAAGAAAATGCTATTAAGAAGATTGAAAAACGACATTTGTATACGGATGTAGAACTTAAATAGTTGGAATGCTTGGAAAGATTTATAACTAATCAAGATGAATTTAATTATTTAAATGAAATGACACAGAAGGAGAATCATGAAGAGGTATTTTTATTGACAATCATTTTTAGTTAAAGTTCTGCCATAATGATCTGAATTAGTTAAACATTTTCAACACATCTAAGAAGGATAAGGAAATCATCTTCATAGATTATGAATATTGTTCATATAATTATCCCTCTTATGATATCGCCAATTTCCTAAACGAATCTGCAATCAACTACTAACATGAAGAAGCCCCTTTCTATGTTCTTGAGGAGGACAATTTCAACACTGCACCCATTTAAGCACATTTCCTTGCATTAAGTTATATACTCAATAAGGAATGCACTTAAATGGAAATAGATTAGATTCAGAAGTTGATCAATGAAAAAACCAATAAAAATAAGGATGAATTAAAGACCTTTATTGGATTAGTTAAATAAATTCTTGAATCAAGATTAAGTGAATAGGAAATTGTGGAGTTATTCAAAGCAATCTCGTATTTGAAAAGGAGAATAAGGAGATTATAGATAATATCCAATTTGAATTGGGTATGGTGGAGCATTCTTTTGGCTTATGAAAAGAATTCTCTTAGTTTTGAATATATAGATTATGGTTTTTTGAGATTCAAAATGCTTGAGAAACTTTTGGAATTAGAAAAAGCAAGAAAAAGTACTAATTGATTTTTAATTTTGTAAATATTTGTTTTTGTAGAGTGTTATTTATAATTTTTATTCAATACTATTATTTAAAATGTAATCAATAGAGAAAGAAGAAGTAAAATTATAAATTTCTAAATGAGATTCCTTACTTTAAATTTTGTTAGAAACTGGGTGGTGTTAAAATGAAAGATATCTACATTTCACCCACTAAGGCTGCAACATTTCTCCATTTAATAAATAACGTAAGTATCTCATCTGATTATCGATAGAAATGTCCAAAATAAACAGCAATTCAATTTGCCTAAAGAAGAATTTGTAAATGGGACACTACAATTAAAATGGATGGACCTAGTACATGTCGTATTTTGAAACCAAAAGATAACAAGGATGTAATGACAGTCTATTAATACATTAGAAAAGGATCAATGGATGGTAGAATGTTGGCTTAGAGATGTATTATGACAATAAAACAACTGTTGCTGATAAAAATTAATTAGAGTTAGATTTTGATAACGATGCAATTTAAAAATAAATTGAAAAGAATGAAATGAAACTAAAGAATGATTTTAAAAACAAAATAGCTCATTTGTAATAATTCTACAAAGATCTTAATCAGAAGTATTGTTTTAATTCAAGCGATCCTGATTTTAAAAATAAAATTAGTAAGGCCAAACTCGATTTACTTAAAAGCAGGAATTAATCAATCAAATATTTCAAAACCAAAGGAATGAAGTACATTGAAATTTATAATGAATCAAATAAAAAGAGTGCTAATAATAATACAACTGAGGGTCTACTCAAACGAATGCGAGTGTTCAATTAACTAAGAACAGATTAATATAGAGTAAAGGAGAAATCCATGGCAGATATTTATAAATAAAAGAAAGAAAATTAAAGTCCAACTCAAAAAGAACTGCAACATGATATTAACATCTATGATAATATGGAATAATAAAGTGAATAAATGTTGAAGATCATTGATCAAAGCAATGAGTTTTCAATGAAACTTAGAAGGAATGAATAAAAACCAATAGTATCACAAAAGGCTTTGGTATTTGCCGATGATTTTAATCGAGCCAAATATTTATTCAATTTGACTAAACAAAATTAGATATAAAAGATGTTTGAAATACCAGAAGGGCCATAACTAGTGATTCCTCAAAGTAGTCAATCAATACGATTGAAAAAGAACCTATCCTCTCCAACTAGTTTGGATGAATAATTCGATAATTGTCTAACTTAATATGCACGTGAAGTTTTGGAATATTAACAAGAATTGTAGGAAAAGGAGATCTCAACTGATAATATTGAAAAACTGCTTCAAGGGAAAGAGATTTTGAGATGTAGTCAAATGAGAAAGGTATCTAGAACATATCACTCTCCTCAGCCTAGTGTACGCTTAGATTCTAGTCGATAGTTGAGACAATAGCAATTATCCTCTAGAGATAGGGAATCCACAAAAGCTGGGAATTCCATTCATTAAAAATCAAGAACTTATGCTGTTAGTCCGTTTTGTAAATGATTTTATTAATTTTTATATTCACTTATGAGCCAATACTAATTATTATAATGATTATTTAGCAATATCTACTTTTGATTGACAGTACTTATGAAATAATATAATGTAATAACGGGCTCGTTCGCTAATTGCTAGATAATATTACAAAAATAAATATGGTCCACAATTGATAGAAGATGACAATGTTTTGGATGTTCAGATAGGAGATGATAATACGTAATTTTAATATTTACTTAACAACTAGATTACAAGCTAGATAAGGGTTGGTAATCACAATAAACTCAGATGAAGACGAACCTAAACATAAACATTCAATATCCAACTTTTCAGAGACTGTTGTTAAAAAATAGGAATGTGCATTGTAAAAATTTGAAGATCGAAACAGTACTTCACAATTGCAACTCACTTTGTAATAACAACTACAAACCTAAACTGATATCTACAAATAACAATAAAATTAAGGTAGCAGTTCTCTTGACAATATGTCACAATTACAAAAATCGCTTTCCTAGATTAAAATCTAATAACCTCAACCACCCTCAAATGCGAATAATTTAAAATAACCTCAATAAGTTAAATAACAATAGGTTAGACAACCTATTACTAAAGGGATTGGAGATTAGAATCAAAAAAATAATGAGAAGTATAAGTAAAGAGTCATATCAATTCCAGATCAGATTTAAACTAAAATGAATATAGAATCTGATGAAGAGGAGGTACAGATCAATAAGATGCCCAGAAAACAAGTTAGACCTAATGATGATGAAACTCTGCCCTAAATTCATTTCAAAAAGAAACCAGACTTTTTTACATAATTGAAATAGAAGGTATGAGTCCTATTTATAAATTGATAGATCACACAACCATTAGATGAGAATATGGCCTTGTAAATCTAATATAAATATAAACAAAGAGAAGAACAATCCCCAGAAATTGAGCGTCATCAAAATGTTGCACCTGTCTCTTATTTGGATTTTATTGCCATGAAGAATAGAGAGATCAATGCTGCAAAACAAAGAAAGCAAGATGAGGAATATAGAAAGTAATTGTTACAATAAAAGAAACAAGAAAAAGTAGCTCCTGAGAAAATAAGAGAAGGGGAGACTCTGCAACAATATTAATAGAGAATGATAGAGTATTTGCACAAGTAGAATAAATACAAGAATAAGTAGAAATACAAGAGAGGCACTGATTTGGATAATAAAAAGACAGCTGAAGAAAAACAAAAAATTAGTGAATTAATGAAGATGATCGACCCAAATTTTTAATAAGAAGACATTGAAGAAAAACCATTCAAGCCTGATCTATTAAATTATGATGTCTTACTTAAGAATGGTCTAATCTTGAAATAAGCATTTGTAAAACCACCTGAACCTGACATCAATCCCATGCTGAATGTTTATAAAAGAGGCAGATATGCAACTGAATTCATTTTTAGTGGTGGAATCGATTTGGATGATGGTCCTTATGGATAATAAACAAAAAAGAAACCTAAAAAGTTGCCATTCCCTAAACATAGATTAAGTTTGTCTCCTTGGGAATACTATGGTGTGGGACCTGAAGAATATTTTGCTACCAGAAATCCTAATTTCGAATTCAAATAGAAATACGTTCCTGTTAAGGATTATTATAATGAAATGCCAAAACCTAAACAAAATCCTAAATATTTTTGTTATGATGTAGATTAATTATTGGCTAAACGGTACTAATCCATTCATCTAGAATATTAATACTAAGCTTCATTTATTGGTTATAAATAAAGACATTGGACGCCTGCGTCACATTTGAAAGCTGTTTGTCCTAATTTAGTATTAGAGTACGAGAAATATGAAAGAGATAGATTATTTTGTTATATTGTTTGTGCCAAGGTATCTAAATATTAACTCATTGAAACTGTTGGCATCTTGACTTCGAAATACACCAAAAACAAAATAGAGAATTTGGTTATGACTTATTGGAAGGGTGATTCAAAAGGAGAGAAAAAAACTATATCTAATTTAGAGAAGCAAGTGCCTTAAGAGTAAGTTCAATAAATAGATGAAATGGAGTTGTTCCAAGAAGAGGATGATGAAGAGAAGGAGAGAAAGAAAAGAACAAGTAAAGAGCAAAGACATCTAGAAGATGAATGGGATCCTACAAAAGATGAAGCAACAGAAAGAGGAAAAAGAAATAAGTTAAGAAAAGAAAAGTTTTAGAGAATAGCAGAGGAGTTAAAATTAAAACAATAAATTTAACCAGAAAAAATTTAGAAAAAGAAAAATAACAATGCAGAAGGAGATCTAATGGAAGTAGAAAATTAAAAAAAAGATGAAAATTAGCCATCTTAGTCAAAAAAGGAATTAAAAAAGTAAAAGAGAGGGAAGAAGAAAAAACAAGAATAATCTAAGTAAGTTGTAGAATAGGAAGCAAATCAATTTGAATAGCAATTCTAATAGGAACAACGACATGACAAGGAAGCAAGATCATAAGAAGAGAGTGAGGAATAAGTTTTTTAAGACAATGAAGATCTAGTTTTCAAAGCCAAAATGATCGAATTCAATTAAAAGAGATTCAACTTCACTGGAACTGATGTTGATCTGCAAGAGAGTATGAAATTGGTTTTTCAAAAGAATTAGCAATAGAAATTAGATCCAGAGAGATATAAATAATTTATATAAAAATGAATTATCTAATTATCAAATTCAATTTAAAATCATATATGAATCAATTTCCTTGTCCTGTCTATTGGTTACAATGTTAATTTAGACCAAGCTTCACTTTAATCAGCATTTTCATCTATCAAAGTCAACAATTCTTCCCTTTTTAATAATTTACACTAAAATCAAAATTCATTTACATCTAAATTAACTATGCAATGCCACATCAATTTAGCATACTTATTTCTCATTTATGGATCTGCTTCCCTCCCCAAACTCTCAATTTTTATTGTAATTTTCTTTGCTTATTCCTCTTCCATCCCTAACAATTAAACTAATTCTAACATATTCAGACAAACTTTTCTTCTTAGTGGTTAATCTGGTATTTCATTTTTCTTTTAGGTTTTCTTCTAATTTACAACATCCTACTTAACTATTTTAGGCTATTCATTAACAATCTTCTTTTCCTCTATTTTTGCTTCTTCATTTGAGATTTATTCTTTTTTCTGTTGATTAGGTGGATTGTTAATAATATTATTGTTATTACTATTTTAAACAGAGACATTTTCAGGAATTTAAGTGTTGCATTCAACAGCCTATGCTTTTTGTTCAGTTTTGTCAATCTTTCTTTATCTTTTGGTTTATTCAATGGGTGGTTTTTATTGTGGTGTTTATTAAACTGGTGGTTTCTTTTCTATACATGAGATTGATTAAGTACCTCGACTCTGATTAGTGCAAACTTCTGATAGGTTTTGAATAATAGTGGCAGCATTGAAAAATTGATTCAATAGAGAGTTTTTTAATTTGCTAATTAAATCATGCAATCTTGTTATTTATTAATGAATATCCCTTTAAAAAAAGTGATCTGGGTTTTATTCGCTTTGATGTTTCAATATTAAATAGACAGCGTTAAGGATGGAACCTTTCCTTTCCGATAAGACTTCTGTGATAGTACTATTTTGAACGACCTGTGCTTCGATAGTATCGAGGATTGGTGTCAATTTCTATTTAATTTAATCGTAATTCAATTGGGCTGCTATTAATAGTAATAATAAATCTTAAAATTCTCGGTCTAAATATTGTTTCTTCTATTGCATCTAAGGAGTTTCTTGCAATGGAGATTTTTAGGTATTCTTATTACTATTATACATACATCTTTATTAGGAGTCTCAGGTTTTTTGATTTATTGTCGCAAATTTCGTTTACTTATGGTGCCTTTCTTTTTCTCCTCTTATTCGATGTGCTTTATTTTTTTTTCTAGTGATGAAAAGAGCCATACTTTAGAGTTTTTAAGCGGTTTAAATTGCTTCTTTCAATTTTTTATTCTTTTTTACTTTTTCGTTGAATTCTTCGAATTTCTCTTAAAAATCATAAAGATTATCACTCATCAATATGGAGCTATATATATTGTGAATGTACCCTTACTGTGAATCATCACCAATGAAATTAATGGCATACTAATTTCCATCGACTACTTGGGTAATCTTAATAAGATAAATAAATATTACAATTCCAGGCCACCATGGATCTAAATATATTAATTAAAATATTTACGTCCTTTTGTTCGAGCCCAGACTATTTGTTTCTTCTTGAAACTTGACTTCATATTATTTATAAAATATTAAAATATATATATATTTATTGTTATTATTATCAATCAATGCAACAATCCATGTTTCAATTCCTTTTGATTCATTCTAAACTGCATACCTCCAACATTCAAATTGATTTTGCAACGTCCGTTGACACTAATCGCTGGGTACAACTCCAGATTCTCTCCCATGCACAAAACCAAAGCTTTCCTTGTCTCCTCAATCTCCTTATTCTTATTATTCAAGTCTATAAAATAATTAATTCAATGTGATCACCAATATCAATTTCACTATCTGCATCCTCCTTCTTTTTCTCCTTCTCCATGTCCTCCTAACTCTTGCCTTCACTTGGTGGTGGAGGATTCAAGAATTTCCCATTGTAACTCAACCACACTCTCCCATCCTTCTATCTGATACCAATTCCTATTGTTTCCCCATAGACAGCTTGAAACTTATGATGCTAATGTAAATTGTTCCCCCAAAACACTTGACCTGTCAATGAATGGAATCCTACGCTGGTCTAGGTACGACCCAAAGAAAACTGCTTCTGAAACTCTTTAGATGAACAAAACCCTATTATGATGTCACAGTTTCTTGGATTGTCTTCTATCTCAATCTCAAAATAGGATGTGGCGTCTCTTGCCACTGGCTTGTCTCCTCTGATGGTTAATGTTTCACCAGGCTTGCACAGGAAGGTCAACTCGATGTACTATCCGTAATAATCTGAAGTTCGCTGCTTCTTATATACTTTCTTTTTGCTGTTACTTCACGAGATCATCATTGGGTTCCTCCTTATTCTCATACAGTTTCCAGAATCGGAATTTGTTTCGCTGAGCAAATCCTATCCTCTCTCTGGGAATTCCACTCTCTGGTCTCTACGAATATTCCTAATACACCCTATATTATCGATATTTTAAGTAGCCAAAAACCAGGCCAGCTATCCCTACCAAACTGCCTACTATTATTCCAGTGATCAACAACCAATGAGATCCAGATGATGCAGAATTTTCAGCCTCCAAATGGATTATGTGATTTAAAAATTTATTTTACATAAATTATATATAATTGTAATTAATAATAATTTAAACTTATAGTTATTGATCCTAACCACCATTTTATTTCATCTGATCTTAAGGCTATCAAATACACAAGATAGCAATTGACTAATCTACTAACCTAAAACAACAAGAATATGATAGACATTATTTCCAGTAAATGCCCTAACCAAACACAATTCATTTAGTCAACCAATACATTCATATAAGCATTCACTACCATTTCCATATTATATTTAATAGTCTTTTAGGGTAAAATTCTTGCAAATCGAAAGATTCTTCTCAATCGTGGAAATAGTATGTTCAACAACTCTTTTTTGAATATTAAATGGTATGATATAGATGGTAACCGAAAGTGTAAACAATTTGATGTAAAAAAAATAGATATTTTATTAGAGGCAAGAAATTATTTTTTATGGCAAAAAAGAGATCAATATAATATATAAAATCCAGTTCAATTTATGACTATTACAAAAATCATGATTCCTAATTATTTAAAAATAAATAAATTAATAATATAAATACATCCACATTATGTAGTTCAAATCAGAGTCATTTGATAGTGAATTAACGGAGTATCTCCAAATAGAACAAGAATTTGAAATTAAATCGTTGTTTAAACAACTAAAAGTTTAAAATTAGTAGTTGCCCAATAAAAAGTCTAAAAAAATTAAGAAGTTGAAACTAAACATTCAAACGAATTCAATTATGTAAAGAAGAAATATAAACGTACAATAAATTTGATATAATTTGTATATAAAACTTCTCTATTCTATTTATTAGTGATATCAGTATGATTTTATTATTTCCCTCCTTAGCATAATTGTTGCTTAAATTCCTTAGAATTACCATTAGATAAGCAAAATTGCTTGTTTCTATTACAACTCTAATACATTTCTACAATGTTGTTCATTTAAATTAACTCAACCATTATATATATATTATGATTCCTAAGTAGAAGAATTAATGATTCAAAATATTTATATGCTAATGGAATTTCTATGTGTAACTATTTATCTTGCTTCTGCATTTTCAAATATTGTTATATATTTAATTCAATTACAGTTTTATTTTAGACATAATTCATATAATCCAACAATATAATATAAACGCATTTTAAAAAAGTCTATTTATAATATAAACTTCATATATTTAAAAGTTTATCCTCTTTTCTATATCATAACAGCTAATAATTAGTTGGAAATGGAAAGTAAATCTCTTAAATACCTAATAATGAATTTGAAGTACTCTCATTCCCTTGATTTAATAAATGAATAATTATATGAGAAATAATTTACTGGACAACTTATTTTTTGAGTTGATATTTACTTCAATTCTTATTTTTACGTTCCTTATTGTAACTAGGAGCCCCTTTAATCGAAAATAACCCTTTCTCTTAATCATATTTGTTCATTTTTCTATCTGTTCTTGATATTACTAATTATTTTATTTAGAATCAATTTATTTTAATTTACAGTTTTCATATTACAATAAAATAATAGACTATAAAGATTTTGGAGTTTATTGAAATCAAAAACAAATTGTATTTATTATATTTCATAAGAATTTAAATGGATAAGAATGAAAATCAAGTCAATTTTGAAATAAATGAGGAATGGTAATTTTAATTCAGACTTCATTTCTAATAATTATTTTAAAAAATAATATATCTACAAAAGCAATAACTAAGTAGATTTGAATATATAAATATACTTGTTAAGTTGTGAAAAAATGATATTATGGAATTGACTAATCAACCTGATATTTTATAAGAAAAGGAGAACTTGCTATAAGGGAAAGAGTTTCAAATTTAGATAATTGATATGAGAGTAATTTGCAAGTTTACAAACTTAAGAGTTTAAATAGATATTAAAAATGATTACATTGTATATAAACAGAATATTATTAGCAGAAATGAAAAATAATTTATAAAAGAATGGTTCATAAGTTAAATTATTATAAAACCCGACTTCCAATTTCTTGAATAATACTCTTTATAGAAATAATTTGTTACCATTCATATTAAAAATCTCAATAGATAACAAGAATTCCACACTATTCTAATAATGTGGAAGTAAGATTTTTAACTTTTAAAGTCATCTCTACTATTTGATAGATACCTCTTAAATACTTAGTCTAATTCAATTTATTTTATTTAGAAAAATTTTTACGATGAATTTAATTAATTATTTGTTATTCAGTTTAATAAATGTATATTAATGAAAGAAAAGAACATTTAACTCAGATTGTTTCTATTTGCAGAGGCTAAATTCTGGCAGTTGAAACTGAGTTCTAATTAATCTAATTTTATAATACCTATTTAAATTCCTTTTCAAGTTCTTTTAACAATTTCACTTTGAGAGCATCATAAAATTTTGCTTGTCTTGAAAACCTATATAAGTGCAATCCTTCAACAATTTATTCATCCTCCTCTTCATAATCTTCGTTAAGCCAAAGTGTTTCATCTATGAGTGGATTATATTTTGAGTATGAGTCGTTATGCTCAAGGCTCTTCATTAAGGCTTCAGTAGTCTAATCTTATTTGACTTCCTTTTTAAAAAACAAATTAGTTAAAAAAAATAATGCTGACAGCAGAATCCAAAGAAAAATTGATATATACAATTAGTATCGAGCATAGATATAAACTTTCAATAAAGCATGAATAATTTGAGTTGAACATATTTAAAGTATGATAGAAAAATATATATAAAATTTAAAAGCATAAAATTCTAATTTTAAATCTTCTTTAATTCCATAATTAATAAGCTAATATTTATCTATCCAGTAGNTTATTGAAATCAAAAACAAATTGTATTTATTATATTTCATAAGAATTTAAATGGATAAGAATGAAAATCAAGTCAATTTTGAAATAAATGAGGAATGGTAATTTTAATTCAGACTTCATTTCTAATAATTATTTTAAAAAATAATATATCTACAAAAGCAATAACTAAGTAGATTTGAATATATAAATATACTTGTTAAGTTGTGAAAAAATGATATTATGGAATTGACTAATCAACCTGATATTTTATAAGAAAAGGAGAACTTGCTATAAGGGAAAGAGTTTCAAATTTAGATAATTGATATGAGAGTAATTTGCAAGTTTACAAACTTAAGAGTTTAAATAGATATTAAAAATGATTACATTGTATATAAACAGAATATTATTAGCAGAAATGAAAAATAATTTATAAAAGAATGGTTCATAAGTTAAATTATTATAAAACCCGACTTCCAATTTCTTGAATAATACTCTTTATAGAAATAATTTGTTACCATTCATATTAAAAATCTCAATAGATAACAAGAATTCCACACTATTCTAATAATGTGGAAGTAAGATTTTTAACTTTTAAAGTCATCTCTACTATTTGATAGATACCTCTTAAATACTTAGTCTAATTCAATTTATTTTATTTAGAAAAATTTTTACGATGAATTTAATTAATTATTTGTTATTCAGTTTAATAAATGTATATTAATGAAAGAAAAGAACATTTAACTCAGATTGTTTCTATTTGCAGAGGCTAAATTCTGGCAGTTGAAACTGAGTTCTAATTAATCTAATTTTATAATACCTATTTAAATTCCTTTTCAAGTTCTTTTAACAATTTCACTTTGAGAGCATCATAAAATTTTGCTTGTCTTGAAAACCTATATAAGTGCAATCCTTCAACAATTTATTCATCCTCCTCTTCATAATCTTCGTTAAGCCAAAGTGTTTCATCTATGAGTGGATTATATTTTGAGTATGAGTCGTTATGCTCAAGGCTCTTCATTAAGGCTTCAGTAGTCTAATCTTATTTGACTTCCTTTTTAAAAAACAAATTAGTTAAAAAAAATAATGCTGACAGCAGAATCCAAAGAAAAATTGATATATACAATTAGTATCGAGCATAGATATAAACTTTCAATAAAGCATGAATAATTTGAGTTGAACATATTTAAAGTATGATAGAAAAATATATATAAAATTTAAAAGCATAAAATTCTAATTTTAAATCTTCTTTAATTCCATAATTAATAAGCTAATATTTATCTATCCAGTAGATAATCAATAAAGCTATGAGAGTTACAGGATAACATATGGGAAATATATACCCATAATAGAAGCATAAATGAATTAAAATATTTGTCTAAATGTTTTTTATATTGAAATTAATTTTTTTTTAGACTTTTTAGTTAGCTTCAAATTATGTTAAAGTTGAATTTGTATTAAAATATTTGTAATAAGTAATTTGTAATAATTGCCAAGCATACTCATCATCTATTACACTCAATATAATAGGTATGATAGAATTAGTCAATATGATACTAATAATATCTTCGCTAAGTCCACCAGCACACCAAATTGGTTATTTTCTTTCTTTTAAATCTTGCTAATTGATACTATTAATAGGAGCAAGTATATAATAAATCAAATTTAAAATTAATTCAAAATGTGCTAAGAAAATCAAAAGTAGTTTATTATACAACATGTCTTATATATCTTTATAAAAATGTAAATGAAAGTGAAACATAATTTTTATGATAATAAAAGAAATAACTGCCACAGAAACGCTAATTAGTATATTAATTAGAGCTTGATATCCACTTTTTCCAGAATTTGCTTAAATATATTCATTTTTTGTTTATGTAATTTTTAACAATGGAATCCATAATGCACTTGCTATTAAAATTTTGAGAAAAACCATTTTCAGGTTAATTTATGTAAATGATTTTTTTTTTCTCCATGTTATATCTGATGGCCTTGGACTATCAATTACTAGAGAATTTCTCCTGATTATGTTCTTAAAAGTAACGGCCTCTTTCTTAAGTTAATGAAAAAAGGATTTTTACTTCATTACAGAGAGTTATAAACACTCTACCAGTAAATTTCAAAAATAATTCTCGATTTCGCAGAATAAAAATCTGATCAACAGTTGTCCTTATAACATCTTTCAAAGAGCTAAAATAATAAATTGAAAATCAACATATCATTATTTTAAGCAAAAATTTCCTTAATTTTAGCTTTTAACTAGATTTCTAAATGCTCTTCATCATAAATTAAACAACAATCAATTACATTAAATTACAATCTTTCCCTTTCTGATTACAAGTTTATAAAATAATTCATTAATTATTTTTTGCTACAATCGTTTGGTAGCAATAAAATCTCCATAGAACAGCATTTTATGGCTAATTCACCATCTATTTCGTGATCTAAATTATAATAATCGGATTCAGAGTATGATATATATCGAATGAAGGCTAATTGGATGAAAATGGAGACCAAGTATAAACTGTCCAAAATGTTATCCTGAAAACTTATCATAAGACTTCATATTACAAGTCAGATTCCATCCTATTTAAAATTGATAAATAATTGTTCAGAGTTTTTTTACAGGTTTCATTGTTCAAGCATTAATATCCTTTTTAGTTCTATATCAAATTGTATATTCCAGCAACAATGCTAATAATAGTCATTAAAATTACAAATTTATAGTTAGAAGGATATATTAAATTTGTATCATCAAAAAGTATTTGTATGCAGTGCCATGAGCCATAAATATTTTTATATCAGTTGAGAGGGAATAATTTATATTTTAAATAGGTTAATTGCAACAAGGACATCTTTTAGAATTTTTTATAACTTCTTTATGAATAATTTAAGCTTTCTATGTGTAATAATATTGAATTTACGCGATGATTCTCTGCGAATTCGAAGTTTGGTGGTGATCTTAATAAATTTACTTCTTCATTGAATTCTAAACCATTTGTATCCATTTTATAATTAAATATTTTAAGTCATAATAAAGTAGAGAAATTGATATATTCTATTCTACTAAATTAGAAGTCTAAGAACATGAATTTAATATGAATGAAAATTGATCCAAACTTATAATGTATCAGTTTATAAAGATTTTGGATCAAAATCATATTTATGCTAGAAAAAAAAACTAGTAATTTTACAATAGTAGAAATAATTAAACATAATGAATTATTGATATTCTGGATTAGATTTAAAAATAGTGTTTAAATTTGGCAAGAATTTGAACTAGTTTTAATTGTTGAAAGTAAAATTAATTAAGATTTATTAAAAATATTAATTATTTTTGTAGAAAATTATGTCATTTCACTATAGAAGTAAGGTTGTGAATTCCTTGATCTATCCAATAAATTGATAAAAAGGCAATGGAGTTCCTAAATTGGAGATTAAAGGAGTTGGCAATCTGGTTTCTAGGAGTTCAGGAAATCCTTAAAGAATTGAGTTAAGTTATAACTAAATATTAGATAAAATTTAAATACTTGAAGAAGATCTCCTCCAATATTTCCCCAAATTCTTTTGTGATTTGTATATAACAGATTTCCAAATATATTTGCAAATCCAACAGTGTATAATGTCATCTAATTAAAAGTAATAATAATAATGATACCATATTCAATCTAGCATAATGTGATTGCAATTTCATCATTATTTTTATTGAAAGTTGAAACTATTTATTTAAAGTCTTTTATCCTTCCTTCAGATCTTCTAATTATCCTTTCAAAGCATTTAATTCTTTTTCATAATCTATCTTATCTAATTTCTTTTTTATCTATAAAACCCGTTTTGTTTCTCTATTGTTCTCTCGAATAGTAGGATGAGTAAAATAGGCTTTCAGATTTTCTTTTGATTTTATTTTGAATCCATATTTATTTAGCTACCTCATTAAACTTTAGTAATTATTGTGTTTAAAGTTGGAAGGCAGCAATTGATTCTTAAATTCTTCAACATTCCAAATAACAAACCCATGTTGATCCCATCTTATAATCTAATAATTTTTAGGATTCTAATTTATACATGTAAATCATACATCAAGTATTTCATATAAATGCTTCAAAAATTTTTATCTCTGCTTTTCTCCATTACTTTCGAATTACTTCTGAAGTTCCTTCATCAATTAGTAAATTATTTTAAGTATATGATTTTTATATTACAATCAATAGACAATATAAATATGTTTAAAAACACGATTATGATCAAACAATTATTAGAATAATTTTCATTATTTTAATGAAGTCAAGTGCAATTCAGATGCGATTTAAAGAATAATTGCTAATTTAGCAATAATACTTAAAATTAGTCATCCTTCTTTATATATTTTAACTAAATTGCAAAATCATTAAAAGAAACTTAATTGAAATATTAATTCTGATTTTCCTAGTTATAAACTATGTATTTTGTAAAATTATTTGTAATTATTAAATTATTTTAATAGTTGAAGATATTCTGAAATTCTTAAGTTCCTGTTTTATTTTTTTGGATTAAAGACATAATTATATAAATTCTATTTTGAAGCTTCAAAAAATTTAATATTATTTATGTAATTTATTTATCCTACTTCTTCGAACTTTTTTGTTTTATCTTTTATTAAATTGAAATATTTTCTCTTTATAAAGGATTATGTATCCATTTATTGTATCCTAATTTAAAATTTATATCGAAAAGGTAATCAATCGCTTTTGGAACAACAAGTTATTTTGAATAAATATTTGATCGCTTAAGTCATATTGAATTTATTGTGTACAGATATATTATATTTCATTCACATTTATTTTCTAATTTCTAAATCTCAAAATAATTTTCATTCTAACCCTTACCTCAATTTATTGAATTGATATAAAATTCGGCTTCCTTCTTTACTAATCAATTTCTAAATGATATTTACAATAAAAGATAAATTCAAAGTATGCTTGCTTTATCTGTCTTAAAAATACTACTCAAAAGTTATCAAACCCAAAAGTTGTAATAATTTTTAATTTGATTCCAAATATAGAATAGCCATTATTTCAACACTGTTGATATCTATCTACTTATTGTATGCATGGCTTTTATTCAAATTGCATAAGTTGAACTATTATAGATCTTTTGATTCTGAGGGAATGGTTAGATACAAAAAGGAAATGACTGAACTTTTAGAATTGATTTAGTTGATTTATTTGGAAAGATTCAAAAAGCACAATATAATTACGTAACTCAGTATTATTCATCATGCTTAGTTGCTACTATTATGAATTTATACTAGGTTGAGTCGCTTGTTGCGTTTTCTAGGATTATAAAATTGATGATAGTTTTCAACTTGTTTAATAAAGTCAAATAGTAGAAAAACTGAATCTCATGTAATTTGATTATTATTTGAAAACTCACCTGAACTAAGGGAGGTATGAGAAGACCTGTTATTTACGATATTTGATTTAATAATAATACACACACATATAGTCATTATTTCTTTTGTTTTCTCAGAAATTAGCAATTCAAAGTTGCTCTTCGTCCGTCTCTTCATCAATCATATCCAACTAGGGTTTAGTTGAACCTTTGATATAATGATAATTTTTTTATTTCAAACACGAAAGTAGGTATTTCGATAGATCTTCAAGTGAAATACTATCATCAGCAGTGATTTCAAGTTTGAGAATTTAACCTTTTAAATATAGCTTCTCTTCCTTTGTTATTAGTTGTAGCTCGAAAAGCCCTTACAAAGTTTAAAAGCATTATTTATAAAAGGTCACGTTGGTTATTTACATGATGACAATTTATTTTCAATTTATATATTAAATTAAAAACTAGAAATTATTACGTCCATATTAGAGCGTTAAATTTGAAGTAAATAAACGGGTTCGAATGAATAAAACGATATCATTAATGGTTGTAAATAAACCCCATCATTTTTCACTCAATATTAAATATTGATAAAAATGAAATGCACCATTATTAATATTAAAACATATAACAGAAGTGTTTTATGTAATCATCTTATATGAATATACAAATATTTTCTATAATATTGAGTCGGAATATTTGGATTTTGAATTTGAATTCTCTTCTAAAAATATGAATTAAATATACTACTTTTTATATATTAAATGTATTAATAAATCTTGAACTTTTATTTAAGATTTATTAGTGGGATACGTATCAAAAATGATGGTGTACCAATCAATCTAAATTTATTCTAAGGAGTAGTACAATGAAGAGTAATAAACTAGTACAATGGTAATAAAACTATATATATTTGAGAATAATTATATTTATCTTAATATTTTTCAAAATATTCATTCAAAAAAATTGAAGATGTATCTTTTGAGATCCATACTTCTTGTTGACAGTGATTTGATCATAGACAGACCCTCAAGGGTGTTTAATAAAAGAGGAAATTTAGATACTCCTATCTTTTGATTATATTCTTGTAGAACTTTGCCTGAATCTGATTATATTGACATTTACAACACTGTAAACAGAACTTAAGACTTTTTTTTTATGAAATTTAACTATTAAAATATATGCTAACTCAGATTGTAATAAATCATATAATTAATTGATTTCTTTTAATAGAGGATATTGAGAGGTCAATATTTGTGAACTCATATATTTATTTATTTATATTTGTTATTTTAATGGAGTGCTTATAAAGAAGTTAATTAAATGGGTTTGATTGATTGAATATTAAATTTATCAAATTTTATGAGAAAGAAATTCACTTTACAGTTTTCGCATCCTACTATTGAACAGGCTTATTAAAAAGATAGGTTATTGAAATATTTGTGGGTGAAGAAAATACTGGCAATATTAATCCTGTTGTTTTCGATAGTAGGGTTGATTAGTTCCTTTTTTTATGAAAAATAAGAGATTATGTATTGGGAGGTCGGTTTCACAAGTTACAGCATAATTTTGGTAATTATCTCTTTCAAGGGATCTCCAGAAAAAGTGAAGGCTATTTTTCAATTCACAAACATATTCTTGTGTATTCTGTAGATACGAGCTAATTATTACTCAACTCCTCAGTGCATTTACTTGAGTGGATAAAATATTATGATTTTCAATATGATAATGTTCTATTTTTCAAGTATCTAGGAAGCACCTATTTAATTAATTTTCTTTATCGTTTCAAGATGTGTGATAACTGGATTAGTAAATGAGATGTTTATGGGACAAGATATGATATCAATAATATTGACAACTCTTAGTATACTAATTTTTATATATCATAATGATTAAATTCAAAGAGAGCATTTCTTATTGCAATTCTCGGATAAACAATGGGGTATTAATATTATTTAATTACAGAACAAACTTTGCCAATAATTATTTAAAGTCCGTTTGTCATGTTTACATTTGATGAAGAAAGATTGAACTTTAATTTAAAAATTGCCAATGATATGTCTGGAATATGTTGGGATAATGAAAAGGCACCTTCTGAAAATTTGCGATACTTTCTGAGATCCTTCAAAATGGGAAACGACAATTTGGAATAATATCTCGTAACACGAAGTAGGACTTGTAGCGATTACAAAAAGATTTATCAATTCCAATTAAGAATTCAAAGAAATGAATAAATCTATGGAACAAAGAAATTCGTTATTAGATTTTCAGATTTCTATTTGAGAGAACAAGTGTTCTTGATCGTCTTTGATCAACATGAGCAACAGATAAGAGTTTTGGAGAGAGTCAAGACCGCTTTAATCTAGGGTATCAATCAACACTAAAATTTAACAATCAATTTCTTGTAGAAACAATAGTAATTACTCTAAAATTTGATTGTATCAAGCAATTCAATCAGCACAATTTATAAAATGAAGATTCATTGCATGTATTTCATAGGAAAATATACTCAATGTAATAGCTTTTAGGAAATCGAACAATAAATAATATAAATTAATCTTACTGATATGATCAAAGGATTGATACATATCTATTGTATGGCGTATAAAACCATATAAATTGAGTTTTCAAGTAGCACTTTTGAAGATGTATACGTTTTTAGTAATGAACAACTATTGAATATATTTTTAGTCATCATATTCTAGACACTTGTTCGGATATGTTAAAATGGTAAAACGGTGTTCATCCACATTAATGAAGCAAATAAATCATAAGATTTTGAATTGGTTAAGATCAGTGTGTTGTTTAATAAGTCAGAGGAACTCAAACAAAAATTAGTTTATAACTAATTATTCTACAAATTACAAGTAAGATTAAGTCCGAAAGTGGATATTGTATCTCATGATAATTGTAATCATCTATTAATATTGACTAGCCTGTCAATTTGAAATTTATAAGGATTTAAATTTGTTGAATGCAATCCGAATGTTGGAGGAGGATATTTCATGACTCGATCCTTAGCTATTTAATTTATGTTTTACTCAATCTATATAGACAATACACAAATATAAATATCATAATCATCTCAATTTATTGGTAAACAAGGCCTTGTCCAGTCTTGTAACAGATCTTCTACTACAGACAATCTTTCTCAGACGAAAGACTAACAATTACTCTTCATCTTATCTATTTGAATTTAATTTAGAGACACTTGATGATCTATCATTACGAAATGCTATTCCAGTTAAAGTTAATTTGGATAATTTGACCTATTCTTTGAACCAAGAGTGAGTTTATATATCAAAAATATTTGCCCTTTCTTTTGGGTGATTGACAAATATCAGGCTCAATAGATTTATCAATTCCTTAGAGGTTGATTTTTTTTGGTATGCTGTTATCACATTAAATGATATTTCTATAGGTTTCAGAAGGACTAGTTCCATCGAAAGGGAGTCTCCCAAAAACAAGTCCATATATTATGCATCCAACTGCCCATACATCTTAAGAGACACATCTATATGAAGAGGACAGAACTTCAGGGGCCAGATAAGATAATGTACATACAACACTATCTGTTTATTTTTAGTGTCCAGCATAGGTCGAAACTCTTAGAAAGTCTGTTGATTTAATTTTGTTTTGGTCTCTCTTCTGTATCTTAGCGAGTCAGTTAAGTGAATGAAGTTTTTGAATAGACCAATTCTCTAATCAAATTTATATAGTATAATGGATTATGATATTGAAATTATTATATTTATGATATTTAGATTAAATGTTTGTGAAAATTTTAGAATTACAATCAATTATATTCTTGAAATTTATTTAGTGACTTCAATTATGACACATCTTTATACAACTAAATATTGATGCCGTTATCACTCAATCTAATTTCAGTTTCAGGGGAATGCAATTTTAGATACAATCTTATAACCAAATTTTTGTTTAAATTTTCCAATAGAATATAAGAGTTTAGACAAATAATTTGAACAAATAAAATTTCTGATTTTACATGCAAAATTATTCTTGTTTTGGAACTCTAATCCCTTGTTGTCTTTCTTAATGTCATCTATAACAATTAAATGATAAAATCCTAAGACATATCTTTATAATGAACTACATCAAACTTACTATCAGTGCAATCAAATTAGATGTTGATACCAGAATATGCTTTTTCAAAAAGTGATATTATTGCTAGAAAAACATATTTAAAGTCAATACAGATAGTTTCAAAGTATTTGTTTGCTTATGAAAATGAATTTGATATCTTATATTTTCCTGAGAAATACAAATGATGAAGTTTTAATTAATAGAGCAATTGAACTCGAGATGATTCATTCTATAAACTCATGTTTATTAATGATGCCTGCTTTTTTAGGAAATTGTGCACTAGTTATTGATGTTGCCCAATCAAATTAATTAGGTTATCTTTTGTAGATTCTATGTATTAAGCTTTCTATTTCGATTGCTCCAAAACAATCAAGAAGGTGTCATCCATATGGTATAATTCAGCCAATAGGATGTTGGTTTCTTCAAAATCAACAGAATCATATTGATTTGGTCGGAGTGTAAATTGATTTAGATCAAAAAACTTGGATTGCTTTTCTATTCTATTCAAAATGAATTATTCAATTGACACTTCAGATATGTGTTGGAGTCTAAAAAATTATTTAAAATTGTCCTCCTGGGAGAGTTCTTGATTACAATATGGAAATCTGTCTATCTTACTTGAATTCTTGTATTTAAAACTCATTCTATTGTGATCAAATGAAAAAAGGACGAAGGGATCGCTTATCACTGAAGGCAATAATTAATCTAGATAAATATTTGAATAATTAGTATACGCCAATCGTTTCCTTGATTGTTACTCAAAAATAGCAGTCTTCTTTGTTTGTCAATTGTGGATATTATAGATATAAAACAAAGGGGACACAAAATTGATAATACAACTGAACAAGTATCAGTTTATGTATCAAAGAGCCCGGCTATAAGTAATTTGAAAGTAGTTTAAAAAAAAATGTTGATTACTGCCAATTTATAATCTAATATTAAAAGTATAGTTGTATGTGCAATGGCCAGGTTGGTGCCAAGAATAAATTAATTAGTCTCTTATTAATCGTTGATTTAGAGCAAAATAAGCATATTATTTATAAAGGCCATACAGAATATGGCGCCAGATGAACAGAATTTTAGAATTAAAACATACATCAGTATCAAAATGGACAAAATTGATGATGTGATTAATATACCTACAACATTTTCTTAGCGAGCAAAACTTATTAATCTAATTAGTGTTATGATAAAAGATAAAAAAGCTATCTTCTTAAAGGTATCATAGCAATATTACTCCTTCTCTTTTTGATATAGACTTTCTAAATGTTGCTATCTAAAAGTTTGTGTAAATTTATTCATTGTTTTATTAATATCATAATAAAATACATAATGAAATAATAATGTAATTAAATGATCAATTCAATTATTCTTATGGATGAGTCTAAATAATAATAGTCAGAGTTGCCATTTTAAATTTAATCCTCAGAGTCCCCTTACAGATAATGCCCTCCAAAAAGTATTCTCAATAGAAACAGTTTTTGGCAGAAAGCAATAGGTGAAGTTAAACAAAAAATCTGCGAATCTTGTTTATGATTTAATTAACAAAATTAATTCTCATTTGGAAATAAATAAAATTAATTATATTAAAATAAATAATATCTAAATGTCCAGAGTCAAACAATCTTTATGTAAATTTTGTATTTTTGAGTCTCTAGATGCACAACAATCGCCAAGTACTGGGAGAATACAAAAGATTTCAGAGAAGCTTTCTACCATCTAGATAGGAGTGGAGAATGAAAGATTTTAGAAATTGGAATAGGCAGAATAACGTATTTAGTAGGCTGAGGATGCATTCAATGAGTTTCAGGAGCAAATCTTTACCAGGCTTAATGGATTGCGGGATTAGGTATGTTATCTATAAAATTGATTAACAGTTGGGTAAATTATCGAAGCAAGTGGAGGATGACAAATTGGCCAAGGAATAAGCCATAGAAGCCAAGAATAGAGATGTTTAGGCTTTGACAAAGAAGTTTGAGAATGCTATAGAGAATGAGCAGCAGACTAAGAAGGAAGGAGAGGCAAAGATCCTTAGATTGACAGAGGATAAATCAGCCTTACTTAGAACAGAGGTCTAGAAGGAGACTGCCTAAAGAATAGATGCCATCGAGGGCATTCATTAAGGCTTACAAAATGATTTGCCAAAGATTCAAGAGGCCATTCGAGAGGAAGCCAATGAAAGGGATGAGTCTGATTAAAATGTAAGGAGTATTTTAATGTAGGTAATGAAATCGATCACAGACGAGTTGGTAAAATTGAGTAATTTGATCAATGTCGAGAAAAGAAATAGAGATGAAAGTGAGTAGTCAATATTTGAAATGCTTAAGGATATAGTGAATAGAGTGAAAGTAGAGTTGGATCAAGAGAAAAGAACCAGAGAGTAATCAGAGGAACATTTGCTTAGTTTATTGGAAGACACCTGTAATAAATTAAGTATTGCAGCAAATTTATGAAGAATTTATATTCATATAAGACATTAAGGTTTGATATCAATATATATATATGGTTTTAATTCACTATAAGAAAACAGAGTTGAATCAATTCTTGTACGAATGTGCTGCTAATACTCCAACTGATTAAGTCATAAAGGACCTAGTAGAGAGTAATAAAACATGAATATCACTTAGTAAATAACATGAGAATTATTCTTGATCGTTTGGCATGCGCCATGGAGGATTTAGCCACCCATGGTAATATGCAATTAGTATTCATTAAATAGGACCCTTGAAACCTGAGGACACGAGAGGACTATCAGAATAATCCCTAATTGATGCAGCAATCGAAACTATGGCACCTGAGAAAAAGCCTTGGGCAGTTACTCCTTAATAGTTATTGCCTGGTCAAAGATTGAATCCTGATAAGACAGCTTATCGTACTGGAGTGATTCAGACAGAAGAATTGTCTAAGATGGTCATTGAGAATTGTGCCAAAGTCAAACAAGCAATTTCAAAAAACTTAGTTGATTTAAAATAATGTCTGACTACAAAGATCGTCTAAGAACAACTAGATTTGTTGAGAGGCTGTATGATGATCTGTTATCCTGGATATCATGGATTACCACCTTGGGAACCAGCCAGAGAAATCTTGGAGGGTCAGTTTGACACTTAAGCCACATTTACAGAATAGTATGATTTTTTGGAGGAGAAAAGCACATCCTTATGGTGGGCTGGCAAGGAGTTATTGAGAGGCAAATTGTTGTCTGATTTCATTGGGAAGAATGACAAGACCAAAATTGTAATTGCCAATCATTTATATTTAATTAGATTGTGAGATTATAAAGGACAGGGGCAGGGGCTCCAGTTAGGGAACCTGCAGTGGATGCTGAAACCTAAAAGAAAATGATGGCATTCTATTATAAGAAATAGCAAGAACAGAAGGTATTTCTGGTTTGATAAGTGTTTAGGAATTAGAAGCTGAGAATGAGGATCAATATCTAAACTCTTAATGGGCCAATCCTAAATAATTGAAATAGTAGTTGATGGGAGCTAGCGATTAAATTTCATGGAAACCTAAGTGATCTTCACGTTGTGTAATAAGATAAAAATTAATTAATTAATTATTATTGTAAATGAAAAGAAAGACCTTATTATTGGAAGCTGACATTATTCAACAGATCAAAAGTGCCTTCAATCTCAATCAAATTGAAATCACCGAACTCCTGACTCAAGCCAAGCGCTATGATCCCAAGGGCACAGGATATGTAAGTAAAACAGAGGTGGATGATATTATGAGAGGCATGAAACTTATTTAATAATATAGATCTTAAATTGCTTAATAATGAAAAGATGGTTGCTAAATTCAAAGAGGAACTTAGACAACAGGATGCAAAAATGCTAGATCTGAAATAAATATGCGATATCTATTGCAAATTGAAAAACTATTAATAATAATTGGAAGACGAAGAGACTATCACATAAGAATACAGTATTGCTATTTATGTCATCCTAATCTAGTTGATGCTTTTGTGGCTTTGGGAGGCAATCCAGACAGAACTGGAGTTGTTTAAAAATAGACCATTTTTGATATTGTTCAAAGTGAGTTCGAACTTAAAATTGATTTGGAGTCTTTTCTTGGAGATTTCCAAGGGAATTAATTGGAATTTGAAGATTTTTGTCAATTATTTGAGAATGCTGGTGAAGATGCTAAGTCTTTCATTACTGTATATTTAATTTAAATACATTTTAGAGCTTTTCCCAGGCCAAACGTAACAACAATTCTGATTTTACAGTCAGATTTAAAGATTTTGAAAAATGGGAAAAGACTGCTATGTGATTATTGCATTTTAGACTGTGTTTTAATTACAATTATTATTTTAATGATTAATGTGTTTAATAAGATTAAGCTGATCATATTAGAATTCCTATCTAAACACAACATTATTCTGAAACAAGCTGAATCTGTTGCTCTGGATAATTAGATATCAATTGTCACCAAATTGGATTACTAATTTATGACTCCAAAAAAGAAAAATTTGAACTAACAATTTACTTCGATCTCCATTTCCAAAAGTGAGTATGTGTCAAGTTAGGAAATGTTTTCAAAGATCGAGGAGAGTTCCAAAAAGTCAATTGAAGAAAACTATACCAACAATCTGATGAATATGACAAGTAGTGAATTAAAACTTCAATTTGGTGCCGCTGTGCAATTCATCCTAAATCAAAAATGCAAAAACAATTAGTTAAACTTCGTAAGTATTCATCCAATCATATTTTCAATTGTCAATAATTTCTTTGCAAACTGACCAAACACACATGTGATTCAAAAATATGAATGATCCATCCCATTATTTTTCTATCAAAAAATACTATTCACCATTTTTATATTTTAAATATACAATAATACCTACGAAACACATTAAGAATTCCAATAATTTAGAGTCTTCTTTATTTTGATAGTGTGAAAATGTTTTTAAAATCTTTTTCGATTTCTCATTCTTAAATCTTGGATAATCTTACTTAAATCTAATATACTTTCTAATTAGTATTTGTATATGACCCTAAAAAGTTTATTCACCTTCAATATGATCATCATTTCTATAAGAAGACTTGATCATTACAAAAGGGATTTATTTTTATTATTGTATAATCTTTATGATCTCGCTCTATGTTACGATGGTATTATTTGATTTTCATTGAAACTACTAACTACTCTTTTAGACTTAATATTATTTAATCTCTAAGTTTACAAACAACTTAATTATCTGAGTCTTAATTAAGGTTTATTAGAGTGCAGTCCTTGCACTATTTACTTTGAAGGATGTTTCATAAGGCATATGATGATAATATATCTATTATCGAATTAATTTACTATTGGGTTTAATCAAATTAAATATTAAACTAATTGTTATTAGAATATGAATGAAATGGAAGCAAATAGGAGATCTAATTTTTTTGCTGCAAGTGGAAAAAGGGTAATGCAAGAATAATAAGAACAAGTAAATTATTTAATTCAAGCAGATGTCGATTCGAGAAGATTAAAAATATAAGTTATAATAATATAATGATGAGTAAAAATTAGAAATACAAGAACCTGTTCCCTTCTATTTACAAAGAAATGATCGCCCATCAAAAATAACAGCTGCAGAAAGAAAAGAAATAATTCGAAACATAGAAATAGAAGCAAACAGAAATTCTGATGGGGGAATATTTGCAAAAGTATATAAGCAAAAGGATGCAAAAGATTAATAGTAATAGACATAAAAGCAAGCATTCATTGATGAAATATAAAAGTAAATAGACGAAAAGAAAAAGAGGAAAGAGGAGGAAAGGTAAAAACAAATTGAAGAGGATAGAAAATATGAAGAAAAATTAAAAAAGGAAAGGGAAAAAATAAGTTAAAATTAGAATAAAGAAGATGACAAGAAGCTCATTATTAAAACGATTAAAAATAAACATCTTAGACAATAATAGGATGATTCAAAGTTCATTTTCAATGAATTCGAAGATCACTAGATTAATTTAACTAATAATAATATTGTTCCTAATTATCTCAAAGAAGTTGATGATAAATATGATTAAGAACTTAAACATAAAGTAAATCCTCACACTCCTTTAACGAAATTATAATCTTAGAGAACCTTGCAAGATTAAAATTTAATAAATATTACATATAACCCTCCCAACACAGCTGGTCAAAATTAAAATAGTACCTCATTTAGAAATAATTCATAACATTAATATAATTAACCATTAAATTAATATGAAATATAGTAAATGCAATAACAATAATAATAATAGTTATTTCAATAGTAATCCTATCAAGATTCTTACTAATAGTCTAATTATCAATATTAACCAATCTAATATAGATCTGCTATGCCATAAATAATTTAGTAGATTTAATAGGAGCAATAGGAATTATTGGAGATCAATAAATTTAAAAGTAGAGAATAAGAATAAGGAATAGAAAAATTGAAAGAAGAAATTGAATTTTAATCTAACAAATGGAATGAAGAGTTGAGAAGACTAAGGGGAGAGGTTTAAATAAATACTGAAAAGAAAAATAGAGCATTTTATGAATTATACAATCTAAAGGATGAGCTGAAAAAACAATAATTATTTGAAGAGGCTAATTTGAAATTGGTGAAATAATAGATTGCAAATAGGAGACCTGATAGTTTAGCTAGTACTGAAAAGAAATTAATCACAGAAAGTGATTATAAAAAGAGTTCACACTAAAGCAGACAACTATCTAATATAGAAGATAATTTATTTCTTGAAACTTTTGTAGATTAAATATGATACTGAATCATATATTAACTAATTTATATTAATTATAAACAATTCAAGAATTTTAAGTTAGTAATTCTACAGTGTTTTTAGATATTATGGATAGAAATACTAGGTCTGTGTGGTTGGATAATCAAAGATAAATTTATATTGGTTTAGTTGAATGCATCAAATCACATTTGTAAAACTTCTTTGAAAATAATTACTTTTGATCTCTATTTAGAATTAATAATACATGATAATCTATATTTCAATAATAAAATAAATACTCTACGCTTATCCATCAATAAGCTACTATTTTATTCTCTTCATTCTATGTTATGTAAAATCATAAGAACTTACGGTATAATTAAATCAATATATTATGAATTAAAATAAATGTTAATCTGATTCTGGAGGGACCAAAACTAAAATCCCTGAGGAAGATCACTTTCTACTTGTTATGAACTAAGTCTTGGAAAGACACAAGTCAATTGCAGCTAAAAACAATGAAAGTTAGCTTCTTTAAAATGCTCTTAAGGCTTTACAATAAGAATTAAATGAAGCTGAATCTAAGAATCCTGGATCTGCTAAGTAAATACTAGATTCCATTTTCAATAATTGATTATTAGAATAATAAATATCAGAATCACTCTCCTTTTTAGAATTTACACCATAATGTTCTTAAATTTTTTTACATCTTAAGTATATGTAATCAATTTCTAAAATATTTATGTTGATCGAGAATTTTGATATTACTACTTCAATAATTTATGACCGATAATAGGCCTAGAGATATTTGACTCAATGTCATTTTAATTCTTTTTTAAGTAGGGTTACCTCTATACATTTAATTTAATTTCTATACTTGATTTTTAAAGTTGCCAACTAATATTCTTATTATGGTTATTTGCATTATATTAACTTATTTATGTTTCTCTTCAAATCACATTATTCTCTTTAAAATTGTTAATTCTAAATTTCAATCTAAATTATATAATTATATTTATTTATCATCTACTCAATAGGATTAATTCCACAGTAGAATAAACTTGTTCACCGAATAGAAATTTTTAATTCTATCACCCTGATAATCTAATTTTAATCAAAAAGTTGCTCATTTCTGAGTTAAACAATGAAAACAGTTCTTATTAAACCTTTATAACCCAGGTAATAAATGATATTTGTAAAACTTGTTATCTCTATGTAATCCAACCTTGTATTATTGCTCTCATCTTTATTTTGCCCTGTGAACCGTATAATTTTCTTCGTTAACATAATTGTCCTCCCCTCCTTTTTGTTCTCTCAAACTTTTAATCAATTCCCATTCAAAATCCATAGTTTAATATATTATTAATAAGATAGACACAAGGCCAAAAAAAAAGCCAATTGGGGGAATTGAACCCCCGACCCTTTGCTTACGAGGCAAATGCTCTAACCACTGAGCTAAACCGGCATCGTTAAATACTACATTTATTTATTATATAAATCACAATTCATCGTGCATCTTCTTCACATATTAAATAAACTTATGTTCAAATTGCATAGCTGCAAAATTCAACTGAGTCTCACTGATTGGCTTATAAGTATTTACTCCATTCTCCAAAAGATCTATAAATCTCTCTTATTCACCTTCGTAATCTTCTGCTACGAAAGCTATTTTCAAAGTAGTCCCTAATGAATGATCCATATACATTCTTACCCTTCTTTACTTCAGGTTTTACAGTCAAAACAACACTCTTATATTAATCTTCATTGATTATGACTTAAGGAACAAAGTTCTAGAGACTTAATCCTACTGCATTTCCATTCATTCCAAATTACAAAAAGAAATCAGTCTCAGGAAATAATTCCTTCAAATCTATTACATTAGTATTCAGCATTACTTTTGGCCTTAGATCTTTCATGATAAATCACAAATTAATTATATTTCTCTGAATAACACAATACTCCATCGAATTCTTTATAATATCCATCCAATACAGTAGCTACTTAAACCTTAACTTTCTGTAATCCTGCTTCCTTTTAATCGCAATAACCAAAAATGAATAATGCGAACAACACTATTAAACTCATTTTTATTAATCAAATTTTTTCATTACTTTTATTCTTAAATATTATTATCTCTACACGTAAGCAGGGTACAAATTTATTAATTTATTGTAATTTTTTCATTATCCGCACCCCACAACTCAGATGATCAATGATTACTATTTATTAATTACCCTGTTTCAACCTGGATTCAAATTCAGAATAAGTAATGAAAATAGATAAATTTAATCAATTTTTATATTATTTCTTCTGTTTAAATCAATAATATCTAAATGCAATTGGTTTATGAGCCTTGCTTAAATATGTACATAAATTAATTAATGAAGTATCTAACTTCCTTTCTAAAAGTTATAATATCTAAGAATATGTAGAAAAGTAGAAACAATTAAACTACATACACCTTAAATTATAATTTGAAATTTTTCCACAGGAATTCATACAATGCCTGGCTGATTTTTAGGAATGGAATTAAATAAGATTATAAAATTATTAATTATAAATATCAAAAATTATGATTAGTAAGTTTAGATTAATCTTTGTTAATTTAATTAGGGAGTTTACTCAATCATATTGATTGATATTCTATAAGGAAGTATCTCATAAATATTAATTTATAATCAAATTTATTAATCTATGTACTTCTTATTTTTTCCAGTAAACGGTATATAAGGGTTTTACTCAAAAGACATTCCAATGACTAGAATATCTAATATTGATTAATTACCATATTAGGTTGCTTAGGTTAAAATTACAAATCTGCTGAGAGATTCCTTATGAAGTTCAAAAAATGAAAGAACAACAGAAGAATTAAATTTCCCACTAACTATCAACTAAATCCTATCTTCTTCTAATTAAGAGTACCTAAATTTAATTATATAGGTATTTGTATTAGAAAATAACTTAAACAATACTAAACTAAAAATATCTGAATTTGTTTTCAAATTTATTGTATTTTTTATATAGATCTATACCATAATGTCAGGAAAATATTTGGCTTGCTTTGAAATTACATGACAAAGATTAATTTCTTATATTGTTTATTCCCAACTATTTTATAAGTTATGGTGTATTTCGATTAAACGAATCCGTTTCATAAACGTAATATAATGTGGTTTTTATTTTAGTTGTTTCTTTAAACTCTTTAATAATTAAACAAAGTATTAAAAAAAAACTGAACTACCTATTGTTGGGGGTGCATTTTATATCCTTAATTTCGGTTTATGAAAAATAATCAAAATAGTTGGTTGGTTTGCGAAAAAGATCGAAAACTCTAATTTTATTAATTCCCTTTATTATTTAACAATGATCTCTTTTTTATAGAGATCAATTCTTTCTTATTGATATTGTTTCATCTACTCATATATATAATTGTTTAGTGAGTTTTTTTAGTATTAAGCTTCTTTTAAGAAATTTAATATATCTTCTTTACTTTTGAAGCAATTTGAGAAGTTGCGTGCCATGAAATACTCGAACTAAAACGAACTTTCATTGAAGTTTAACATGATATAGGATTACTTATTGATCAGTTACTCTAAGATTCTTTCCCATTGTCTATCTTTTTAAATTAACATAAATTGTGCTCTCATTGCCTCATTGTATTTGTACAAAAAGTATACTTAACAAATAGTTACAAAAACCATGCTTCCTAAAGGGTATAAGATGAGGGATTTGGTCTAATTCAAAAAGAAAATAATTCTGATAATTGTAATTACTATCACCTGAAGTGATGCTTCTGGAAACTCGGTACCTATTGTTATAAGAAAACTAGCTCCCATCTAGTTTACTCCTTTCAAATGAGAAATCGCTGCATCACTATCTTCATCGAATAAATAAAAAAAAATTATCAGCAGGTGATTTGAAATGACTGATAGGATTCTCAAACTTATAAAGTGTCTGTTTAAAAAAATGTCCGCCACAATGAAAAATATTAACATTCCTATGTTTTGATAAAATCGTTTTAATTCATCATTAAGTAAATAGGTTAAGCATCTAAAAAAAAAATTAACCATGTAACCTTTTGAAAGCAAATTAAAATGCGTAATTCTAAAGTGCTAAAGTGCTTGAGACTAATAAAGAGCTTCCACATTTTTGTCATAGAAGAATAAAGTAAATTTATTCATTTTAAAAAATATATAGAAATTTTCAATTTTGATACAATCTAACCATTAATTAGTTTATAAGTTTAAAGAAATAATCAAGAAAAATATGTTGAAGAACAACAATATGATTAATTATTCACGATCTAAGGAAATTTTTAAGAATTTCCAAACAGATGTAGTATTAAAGATCCAGATTGAAAATGATTTTATTCCTCTTTTTAATCGTAAATTTTAATGTTTTCTATTTTCATCAAAAATTATGTCTTATTTAATTGACTTGAATTTTTCACATGCAAAATATTAGGAATATTCGGAATTGTTTTTACATCCAAAAAATAAACATTCAACACTTCATAATAATATGTTTAAACAAACAGAAATTATATATCCCATTTATATTGAAAGTTAGAAAAATATCATTAGTTAACTTTGGAGAATTGATTTTTAGCACTAAAATTGCCTATCATCTAATTTCTTTCTATTAAAAAGATCGCGATCTTACTCTTTACTATTAAGTCTGATTTTTTTTCTCTGACTTCTGGTTCTGTTAATCAAAATGCTTTTCTGAATAGGTAATTTTGAGTTTTTTCTAAGCAACTTCCTTTTCTTTTTCATCTAGAGTATATTTGATAAGCCGTGATCTGATTGGCTTTTCAAATGTTAAATTTATATCAGTGCTAGACCGGTATGTAGTGTAGTATTATTTTTCATCAATCCTTTGACTATCAACTTTGAATTTTAAAGATCGTCTTCTTAAGATTTCTTTACGAGAGTGAAATTGAATTATTCATTCAAATTGATTATTGCATTATGTTTGGAGACAGGTAATTCTTTGAAGAAGGTAGAGTCAAGGAAATGAACTTTGGGTTTTGTTATAGGTAACCATTGGCGAAACTTGTTGTATTCGATTCGATCATAGTCAAATTATTAGAGTAATGCCAAATCTAATTTTACGTTATTCTATTATGTCAATTTTATGAACTTAAGAAGGAGAGGTTTATATTTTTGACAATATTTTTATAAAATTAGGGTTAAAGATACCAGAGTATTTTGTTTTGTTGTGTCTATGGGTTTTAATCAGCCCTTCAGGATCTGTTAGGATATCATAAGACTTAATTATTGTGTAAGTAGAAATTCAAAGAATGTCATATCGATCATATTTTTATTATTATGGATAATTGAAATCTATTGAGGGTTAATGGATTGACCTTAGAGTGCTTGGATTATGACTTAAAATGGAGGCATAAAGTAGTTATATTTGATATACTAACCTAAAATAAACCAACATTTTAGATAATATAATCAGTAAATGCCCTAACCATAAATATTTCATTAGTCTAGCAATACTATTCGAGAGAACAATAGAGAAACAAAACGGGTTTTATAGATAAAAAAGAAATTAGATAAGATAGATTATGAAAAAGAATTAAATGCTTTGAAAGGATAATTAGAAGATCTGAAGGAAGGATAAAAGACTTTAAATAAATAGTTTCAACTTTCAATAAAAATAATGATGAAATTGCAATCACATTATGCTAGATTGAATATGGTATCAATATTATTATTACTATTAATTAGATGACCTCCAAACTTCGAATTCGCAGAGGATCATTGTGTAAATTGACTATTTTTTACATTCAGAAAGCTCAAGTTATTCATAAAGAAGTTATAAGAAATTCAAAAAGATGTCCTTGTTGTAATTATCCTATTTCAAAGATAAAGTATTCCCTCTTGACAGACTTAAATGAATTTGCATAGCATGGTACTGCATACAAATACTTTTTGCTCTTGAAAAATCTATTTATTTTTCTAAGCATAAATTTGTAATTAATGTTGGTGATAAATAGCATAGTTGCTGGAATCTACAATATGATTAAGAATTATAAAGGAGATTCATGCAATAAGGATAAAAACTGTAGTTAGAATCTAAACAATTATTTATCAATTTTAAATAGAATTGATTCTTATAAGTAATTTATGGATTTCATGATAGTTTTGAAGATTACATTTTGGACACTTTATATTTGATCTCCCTTTAAATCCAATTAGGTTTCTTTCGATATATATCATACACTGAAAATGATGATTATAATTTGATCGCGAGATTGATAGTGAGTTTACAATAACAAAATGTTCTATAGAAGTGATAAATATTCATACTAAGGCAAGAGATATGGAGAGTATGATTGCATTGATAAATAATCAATAAAGATAAGGTGAATCATTTAAAATTATTGATTGTTGTTTTATCTATGATAAAGAACATCTAGAAAATTAGGTAAAACTAAAAATAAAAGGAATTATGGCTAAAGATAACGATATGTTTATTTTCAATTTATTACTTTTAGCTTTTTAAAAAATATAATACAAATAATAGTGGATTAGAGTTTTATTCTGCAAAAATCGAGAAAGTTTTTGGAATTCACTGGAAGAATTTTTAAAACTTTCTCAAGCGAAGTAATAATAATTTTGTAATTTTCTAGAAAGAGCTTATCTACGAAGAAGAAAAAATAAAATGGTCCTTTTGTCCAAGACCTTAAAATGAAAAATGGAATATTAAAAATGGAAAAATCAGTTTATCTCAATCTTTTCTTCGGAATGGCGGCTTATTTAGTTGTATATATCACTAAAAAAGTACAAGCTTAATATATTTCGCTAATTCTGAAAATTAATTAAATATAAATTCACTTTTAAGCTTATTTGCAGCTACTTCTATCTCAGTTTTACAAAACTTAGTATTTCATTATAATTGAAAGCATTCAATAAATTTTATTCAAACTATGATATTCCTTTATTTCAATTTTTTATGTAAATTGTGATGGAGAGTACTGAACTTACTTTTACTTTTCTAATTATTCTGACACCAGTATTTATAGAGTATGAGAACTTAGACTAAAGCGAAAGCAAATAACACTTATGGAATGCTGGTGGGCTCAATGAAGATCTCATATATATTGTTTTAATAAATGCTTTCTAAATTATGATATTTAGTATAATTGATTTTTAGTACGCTTGGCAATTATATGATTTATTTAATACAAATATTTAAATAAGAATTCAACTTTAACATAATTTGAAGCTAACTAAATAACTTAAAAAAAATAAACTTTAATGACAAATATATTTCAGTATTTATTTTAGGTTGCTACTGCTCCTACTATGGTTACATGTATCCCATATTATACCCTATTACTCTCATAGCTTTATTTATTATTGTTTATTTAAGTCAAATTTTTATATTAGTTTATTTTTACTAATAATTTTTCATTTTTCCATCTAAATGATTTATTATTAATATCTACTGGATGGATAAGTACTAATTTATTAATGTTATTTCTTATCATCATTTAACTGATTTCTTCTCAAGTACTAATGAGATTCTTACAAATATTAATATTTACTTTCCCTTAAACATATATAATTATTATTATTTTATCCTTTCTACTGTTTTACATATTTTTTTTTCTAGTTGGATTTTTAAAGTTTAATCCTTACATTATAAAACAAATGAAGCCTTAATGAAGAGCCTTGAACTTAACGATTTATACAAAAAATACAACTCAATAATAGATGAATCTCTTGGTTACACCAAGAATCTGAAGAAGATTATTTTGAGAAATTGCAATAACATAAGTTTTCAAGATAAGCAAAATTTTACAATGAACTCTAAGTGAAATTGTCGAGAAAGCTTGAAGAAGAATTGCAATAGTTATGGTAAAATCAGATTAATTAGAATTCCATGTCAAAATCCAGAATATATCCTAGTTAAGTTGAATAAACCTGAGTAAATGGTATTTTGAGTTTCTTTTTATTTAAATATTTATCTTTCAATACCTAGTGTCAAGTATCTAAAGTAAAATAAAAACAATTAAGTTTGAAGCAGAATTTTCTTGTAAGTCCTCAAATTAATTGATAAGTATTTATTATTGGAAATTTTAATCGCTATCTATTAAATAACACGAGTGATTTTTAAGATTTTAAAGGATAATTTTTACACAAGTTATAGATATTTATTCCAATTGTTCCTTATAGACTTTTAAAAACTATGCAAACCTCCAATTATTCATTTATTTATTATTATAGACATTCATTTTTGGTTTATTTTTAGATTTGTTCAAAAATATACCTTAAGATTCATCATATTTTTTAATTACCAATATCTTTGCAAGCCACTAATTACCATAATCTTTATAATCAAATATTTTATAGTCCACTTGAAAATTGTAAAATTAAAATAAATTGATTTTTAAATAAATAAAATAGTGCTCTCAAACACAGATAGATAATTCACAAATCTTATTAAGAGAAAGAGTTATTCTCAAATAAAGGGCTTCCTAGGTACAATACGGGACATAAAAATAAGAATTGAAGTATATAACAACTAAAAAAATAAGTTGTCCAGTAAATTATTTCTCATTTAATTGTTCATTTATAAATTCAAGGGAATGAGAGCATTTCATATTCATTATTAGATATTTAGAATATATCACTTTACATTTTCAACTTTTTATTAGTTGTTTTGATATAAAAAGGAGAATAAACTTTGAAGATATTGAGTTTATATTATAAATAGACTTTTTTTAAATGTGGATTATATGAATTATATCTAAAATAAATTGTAATTGAATTAAATATACAACAATATTTGAAAATGTAGAAGCAAGATGAATAGTAACACATAGAAATTCCACTAGCATATAAATATTTTGAACCATTATTTCTCCTACTTAGGAATCATAATATCTATATGTAATGATTGAGCTAATTTAAATGAACAACATTGTAGAAATGTATTAGAGTTGTAATAGAAACAAGCAATTTTGCTTATCTAATGGTAATTATAAGGAATTTAAGCAACAATTATGTTAAGGAGGGAAATAATAAAATCATACTGATATCACTAATAAATAGAATAGAGAAGTTTTATATACAAATGATATCAAATTTATTGTACGTTTACATTTCTTCTTTACATAATTGAATTCGTTTGAATGTTTAGTTTCAACTTCTTAATTTTTTTAGACTTTTAATTGGGCAACTACTAATTTTAAACTTTCAGTTGTTTAAACAACGATTTAATTTCAAATTCTTGTTCTATTTGGAGATACTCCGTTAACTCACTTTCAAATGACTCTGATTTGAACTACATAATGTGGATGTATTTATATTATTAATTTATTTATTTTTAAATAATTAGGAATCATGATTTTTGTAATAGTCATTAATTGACTGAAATTTATATATTATATTGAATTCTTTTTTTGCCATAAAATAATTTTTTCCTCTATATTATTTATTTTTTTACATCAAATCGTTTACACTTTTGGTTACCATCTAGATGATACCATTTAATATTCAAAAATGTGTTTTGAACATACTATTTCCACATTTGAGAAGAATCTTTCATTTAGCAAGAGTCTTACCCTTAAAGACAAATAAATCTAATATGGATGAGGTCGTGATATCTGATTTCTAATTGTGAGTTTTAATATAACTGTTCACTAATTTTGTGAATATGTTAGTCATCCTTCAATTAGATTTGTGTGATGGAACTCAAATCTGAAGTTTTTACATAGGATAGTAAACTGCATTTAGTAAAACTCAATTTCATTTAAATTTAACTTCTGAAATAATAAAGGGTCTGTTCTTGAAGACGGGTTGTAATAAAGTGTTTTTTGTGTATGAATTTGTGATATAATTCTAGTTAATTAATAATAAAATCTGTTAAAATATAGTTGTTAATTATGAAATCAGACTCTTTGGCAGTAAGTGTATTAATTTTTGATTAGGAAGAATTACCAAATTAAGAACCCGATAGGTCGCGGAGCTGGTAGTTTTGTGTGTAAAATTGTCAACCGTCTAAGTAAAGTAGAGATGGCTGCCAAGATCATACAAAAAACATCATCAAATGCGCAAAAAATATAAAATGAAGTTGCAATCCATTAAGAATTGCATCATAAGAATGTAGTACATCTTGCAGACATATTCGAGGATGCTGATAATAGTTATCTGATTATGGAATTGTGTGATTCGGATATTTATTAGCTTATTAAAAAGGAACAATTCTCTGAATAATAAATACGACATTATGGCAGGTAATTGGCAGAAGGCTTACAATATTTACATTCTCACAATATAATACACAGAGATATTAAATTGGGTAACTTATTAATCCAGAATGATATTCTAAAAATTGCTGATTTTGGGTTGGCAGTAAAATTAAACAATGACGAAGAAGAGAGAAGTACTCTATGTGGAACTCCAAATTATATTAGTCCTGAAATCCTAAATTAATAACCATATGGAAAGAAAGTTGATCTTTGGAGTATGGGATGTTGTTTATATGCTATGGCAACAGGTCATGGGCCCTTTGAAGAGAAAAATGCTCCATTGGGGGAAGTGTTGAGAAGAGTAAAAGTTGGTGATTTTGATTTACCCAACAACTTTTCAGAAGTGTTCAAAGATTTGATTATTAATTTATTGAATCTGGATGCTGATTAGAGATATTCTATTGAGAAGATCATCAAACATCCTTTTTTTATTGAACCCATGCCTCCAAGGATTTAAAGTAGAAATCAATCGAGTTCTTAGATCAAGCAACTTCTTGATTTAAGTCCTTTTGTAAAGCATTAACACAGATCTACTTGTTCAATGATTGGATTAGAGAAATAATAAATAGTAGCATCATTCTTATAGAAACAATAATAGTTAGGAGGTAAGAAGTTGTTATTTGGCAATACTACAAATTGTAAAGGTGTTTTGAAACAAAATTATCATCTAGAGAATGTTCCTCGATTTTTCTTGCCTTAAGAATCTCATTCTAACAATACTAGTTGTAACCATCACAATAAAGAAAATATACATAAAGATAATTGCAATAAAGAAAACATAAGAGACAATAGTGTCAAGTTGACAAAACAAAATTCATCAACCATCAATATATACAATGAATCTCCAATTAAATTAGAAGATCTAAAATCATGTAGATTACAAACAAAAAATGGATTATTGCAAATACATGCAGATGGCAGATTTGAAATGGATGTTTGTAATAAAGATTTAAACTTTATAATCTAAACAAATGGATAAGAAGTAATAATCTCATTAATTGTTAGGTTCTGGTTCAAAAGAAAGGGCAAAAACCAAAACAATACCGATTAAATGAATTACCATAAAAACTGTAGAAATTCTATACTTACTCAAAACAAGTATGCAATGCTATCAGAGAGAGAAATTAAAAACACAAAATTAACAATGAACATGGGAACTTTGCGCTTAAGAATACGAAATTGGGGTAATGTTTTGAAGGATACATTGCCTAGTCCAAAATTAAAGTATAATTCTATTTTAATGATTAGATTTAACACATTTTGAATTCAGATACAATAAAATTGTAATTGCAAAATGGAACTTTGAAATCTATCAATATTAATGAATTTTAATAGTTATCTACTTAAGCTAGAATGGATCCTAATGAGGTTTATTCAATAAAAATAGCTCTCAAGTATTTACCTTAATGTTAATAATGATTTATTAGTTAATATTTATTTTTATAATATTCACCAACCATAAGTGGCTTTCATCTTCTCCTTCTTATCTTTGAAATCCTATTTTCTTGACTCGTAGCCTTCCTGTTTAAGAGCAGCTTAATAATTAAGAGAATCGATGTGATTCTTCTCTCTTTTCAATTAATTCACATCTGTGGGAACCTTCAAGAAAGCTTCTTACTTCTATTTCATCTTCTCTCTTTCCATCTCCCAATACTTCTCATTTGTACCATGCAAATTCATGATTTAAGCATTATCTTCCCCAACTTCATAAGTGACCTTCACAATTCCTTTTTCATTTATAGTTTTTTAATCTTACATATAGATGTCATCCTAATCAAACTCTTAAATCAAAGCCTGCTCCTCCTTTGTTAATTTTTTAATAGCTGTATTACTTAAAATTTCTGCTTCTTTGAAATTTATACCAGGAGGCATGGGAGGTAGACGCTTTTTCACAAATGTAGTATGTTACTACTCCACTTTGTTCTTTGGTTATGGCAATAAAAGATGTAGTTTGCCATTCTTGATCTCCTGTTGCTGAATTGGAATTTGTTCATCGCCATCGCATTCAGATTGCTGATCTACAATGACCGCAATCTCCTCGTTTGTCTTGATTTTCTTTGACATTTTGTTAAGATGATCTAGGGTGATCACTTTGTTTAGAGGTTTCTTCGGTTCTGGAGCAGAATCAGAGTTGCTCTCAGAATCATAATCGACTAACTTTTAAATCATAACAATTATTCAACTATATATTCAACTAACATACGAGCATTCGATAGTAAGGTAGTACGTGAGGTTATCTATGTAATTAGATCATCCTTCTCAGCATTTAGAATATTGCTCACTTTCTTCTATTGCTCACACAATGTTTCTAATTATTCTTACGGAACACTTAAATGCTTATAATTTCTAATTGTAAAATACTAATACTATCCTAATAATTCCCATCTAAAACGCAAATGCTTATAATATCGATTCTTCACCATAGCCAACGTTTTTCCAGGAAAATGTCTATGAATCTTTTAGAATTTTGGTCCATTATTCAACACTAACTACAGAATCAACCGATCTTCCTCCTCAGTGAACTTTTGTCCAGATTTTTTACTATTTGATCCTTCCATCCCCCTTCTCTTCTTTCTGTGATAGTCGTATTCATTTTTCTTCTTCTATTTCCTTAATATTCCCAGTTTATTGGCCTAATCATTCTAAGATGATCGATCTTCATTGCTATCCATTCTACTAAAAAATATACTATTATTATTAATTATCAATTAATATTTGATACACATAAGGTTTTATTTAAATTAACTTATAATGTACAAAATGACATCGATTCAACAAAACCTCTTCACTCTTTCATATATCCATGATCAGGAAATTGTGTCCAAATAACTTTTATTTTTCTAATCAAAATTGAATTACTCATTAAGTTTTTGACACTTTTTCACTATCTTTCCTTATTATTTCCAAAGCTAATACAACTAATAACCAATAGATTAAATTATTAAAATAAATCTATTTCCATTTTTAATTTCTAACCCCTTAATAACATAAATGTATTTAGGCTTGTTTTGGGAATTCTCTCAAATAACCATTAATTAAAGTTATAATTATTATGAAAAAACAAATAATCTTTAAAACTTTGAAGAATAATAATGAATGCATATTGAATAATTATTCTAATATAGATGAATTCCTTTGTTAGTTAATAAATAAGAATTTAGTAATCTTATACATACATCTGTCAATCCAAAATCAAACATACTTTACTAAAATATCTTATATAATACAAATTATGATTGCAACTTAACTCAACCATTAATTGTTTATTTTTATCAATACTAAACTTTTCAAAGGAATTCAAAGCAATATGATAATTTCTTAAAATCCATAGGATCAAAAATAAATAAAATAGTGTAATAATTTATCAATTAAATTTTTTATGAATAAAGGTATTTTGTTGATGCTAATTAGATATTAAATATAAATTACCTAAATTTACTACATTCTTTATATTACTATATTACATTATTTGCAAATATTTATGGATTTCTAAGTCTTTTTTTTAGATAATTTTTTTATTGTATTTTAATGAATAAATTAAAAAATAATGTTATTAGAAGCATCCCGAATCTTCATCAAGAAATGAAGTTAGAGCAAAGTAAAATACTGAGTGCAATCAAACCTAATGAATTGCAAGAACCAAAAACAGCAAAATATATGGAATTGGACCTTAAAAATAAAATTAATTTTTCAATCAGAGAGAATATTACAAGTTTAAGTTCAGAAAGGTAGTAACCAAAAAAAATAAAGAAAATTGATGGAAAGGTGGCAACAATTGTTGAATTAATCAAATAAGACTTACTTCCAATGTTGAATATTCAGAATGATCGAATTGAGAAATTAGAAAGAAGAATTAGGGCTAAGAATGAATCAGAGGCCGATTCTGATTTACGGAAATCTTCATTAATTTCAGATAAAAAATCTAATTCAGTTGTAGAAAACGAAGTCTAGAATTTATCCGTTAGTGTAGATGAAATTAAAAAAAACTTATCACACTTAGATAATTTTGTTAAATATCAATTCATAAAACGTAAATGTTAGGGCTCAGAAGTGCAAAATGATACTAAAAATAAAACTGCTATTTCTCAAATATAAGCTAAACTTAATACAGAAATTATTTAATAAAAAATTGAGACTCAATAAACTACTAAATAAATATAAGAATACATCACAGTGCAATTATAAGAAATTAAAGAATGGATAAATAAAATATCAATTGAATAATAGAAGGAGATAGAAGTCAAATTAAATTTGATGGAAACTCAATTTTATCAGTTCCTTTATCAGCCATTAGAGGTTTTGAGATAAATCCAAACAAATTAAGGTAATGTTTAGAGTAAAATAAAAGAGTTTGAGTCTATTTTCAATTCTAATATATTCTAGAGCTAAATTTAAAATTCTTAAGAATTTACCAATTGCTGTAAACAAAATCATAATAATAAGAAGACAATTAAAATAAATTGTGGCCATTTCTATCATGAGGGATGTTTAGAAACACAAATTTAAGAGGATTTAAAAGAGTAAAGAACTATATGTTGCAAAGAATGTCATCATTAAATTAAGTTAAATAAAATCCAATAAATAAAAGTCTCAAAGGAAATACAGGATTAAATTTACAAAGAATAAATAAAATAGTTGATGAGATCTTCTAAACTTGATATAATACAATGTTTGAAATGCGGGTTTTTATGTGTTAAAGATTAATCTTGGCAAGATCAAGAAACTAATTGCGTATAATGTACTTGATGATATAGAATAGTCATGATGAATCTATTTCTAAATCAACTTTATATATTTATATTAATATCCTCTAAATAGAAGAGTAAAAAAGAAAGCAAAATCGCATCTAATTATAATTAAAATTTCCAATTTATTATGTTTTAGAATATTACTTCAAGCTTATTACACTAATAATATTAGTTTGAGAAAATAACCTCCTTATAGATTATCATTTTGTAATATATTTTTCCAATATTTAACTATTTTGATCAAATCCTAATTTCATATCAAATGATTTAAATGGAATTTTCAGTTTTACTTCTATTTTTTTAATAATATTCTTAATACACAAATTCTTTTATGCAATTTGTTGTTAATTTACCTAAAATATTTTTTTCCATATCTATTTGATTTTATTCATAAAGAATTGACAAATCATAATATCTAAATTGATAGTAAGTTCCAATCCAATAAAAACTCACAATATAAGGGCCCTTAGGAATTATGCAACCATTCGAGAATAACATTTAAACTTTGTGCAATGAGATAAATTTTATAGAATAATGAATGAATTTATGTGTGGTTTTTTACCCTAAAATCCTAAATTTATTATTTAATTCTATATTATTAGAAAATGGGAAATTAGAAAAAATTCCTTTAAAAACTTTTTAGAATTCTTGAAGTACTTGCTAGTTTAATTATAGTCAAAAGAACATGAAGACTGTATATAATGGAGTTAAGATGGGAACTCGCTTGTAATTATTTCTGCAGAATTATTTGAGGAAAAGGTAATGCCTTGCTATTTCAATTCCACAAAAATTACTACTTTTTACAGATAATTGTGTCAGTATGGATTTAAAGTAAAATAAAATGAGATGAGATAAAAGTAATTTTATCATTCTAATGTTTAATAAGGAAATTTGTAATTTTATAATTCTTATTCTTATAGTGAAAATTTATTAAGAATAGCAAGAAGGAAGAAGATGCAGGCACAATTAGATTTTAATAAATGTATAACTGAAGAAAATAAGCAATTGAATAATTAATTAAAGGTTCTTCAGAAATAACAATTAGCGATCTAGGCTCAACTGAATATGCATACGTAGATTTACATGAAGTTGTGCAAATAGATGAAAAATGTTTATGATGTATGAATCAAAATTTAACTTAGTATTAAAAATAAGATGAAGAGTGTGAGGAGAATTGCAATAATTTTTTCGAATCAATAATATTTTTATTTAAGGGATTCAATCCCGATATTGCCTTAAATATATTTGAAGAACTGAAGCATATAGGAGGGCCATAGAGCCCTTAATTATCGCCACTACTCTTTCCTTATTTAAAACTGAATTGAATTATTTTAACAGTTTCTATTAAATTGTATAATACATACAACATTTAAAAATTTCTCCAAAAGTTTTCATTGGAGTATTTTGAGTGTTTAATCCTACCGCTTATGTAGCATGATGAATCAGAAATATTAACGTTGCCCATGTGGCGCAATTGGTAGCGCGACAGCCTTCTAAGCTGTAGGCTGCAGGTTCAATCCCTGCCATGGGTGATTCTTTTTTATTTTTTTAAATAAATGTAAATTAAATATTTTATATTTAATTAAATAAATCAATTGGTGCATGATTCTAATTTGGCAAGGATTTGGGATGGATGATCAACTTTGAGTGTCTTCATGATTTTGAGGATGAGATCAGGATCGTTAAATTGGTTCTATTTAATTTTTTCAATTATTTTAAGTATGTAAATCATGCAGGCTTCGCTTTTCATGTTTTCATCTAATTCTAATAGTCGTTTGGCTATTTTAATGAATTATTGAATGTCTTATAGTAGGATGAAGGTTTAATTCATTTTGAACATCAAATTGTCACTTGAGTCTATTTTAAATAGGGATTTGATAGTTTAGATATCGGTATTGGAAGTGTTTTGGAGTGATTTAATGGCGTCAATAATTTGGGAATCAGTTGATTATTTCAAAGATAAAGTTTATTCTAATTGATTTTTGAAGTTCAAAAAACAGTCGACATATTTGGAATCGAATTTCCATTTTTGAATGATGGGGAATACTTATTCCAAATTGTATTGTTCTTCATTTTAATCATAAATAATTTCACAGATTTATCTACAGAATGATTCCAAATGAGCAACACCCAACATGACAGTCTTAATTTTTTCTGCAGTTGTCAACAATTATTCCATGGAATTGACTGAAAATATCTCCATCAACTTATTGATGTCTCTGTCATCATGTTCAAATGTACCAGTTTTCATTGTTTTATTGATTGTTTAGATGAAATTAAATGATTCTTGTAATTCTTGTTTGGTTTCTTGATACAATTCTTTGAGTTGATTGAGCTGATCGGTGAGAAAGGTATTGTTGTCTATCAATCGTTGATTTTCCTTTTTGATCCTATTCAATTCTTAGACTAACAATTGATTCTCATTGATTAATGATTAATAGGTCGAGTTCTCTTTCAACTGATATTCTTGATTCTATTTCTTTAATTGATTGTATTCATTAAGGAATTTGGACAATAGCTCTGTGTTGTCTGTTGACATTCTTTATTCAAATTTAAATTTAATTACATTAATTTATTTCAAATACTTTTATGCTTGAATTGCAAATAAATTGATTGAATCATATAGATAAAAAAGTAATAGATTAGTGAATATTCATTTCTAGAATTTAGTCTTCAATCTTTAATACTTTTATGGATCTATGCTAGTAGTGTGATTTCTCAGTTTGCGTAATTATTCACTCGTAAATTCAAATGAGACTCGTTTACTAGAGGGTCTCATCATGGGACTGTTGAGACTCTACATGCTCTACCTACTGCCAATTTTGATGACTTCAAAAGAACTTGATTTCAAAATGCCCTTCTGAGTAGAGACAGAACTGCCTTTTTGAGAATGTAAACCATCGTTATTTGCAAGCATCCTCGATACTCTTTGTGGATGTGGGAATGGAAAGCTAGTCAGATCGTTGTGATCATTAACAATTTATGTTACATAAATTTATCTCTTTGGTTTACGAGATGATATTAAATTTGTTTAAAGTGCTTGTGAATTTTGGTGTTATCTGCCTCGAGGGTGCTTATCAATAGAGTTTCTGGAGTTCTGTCTCCTCCTAGAATTGGCCAAATGGATTTCGGTCTATTAGATTATATCTAGGGTTTAGTCGATTTTTTATCCACTTTGAGTGTGCATGTTCTGAGTAGATACTTGATTAGTGGACTTAAACCCACACGATTACACACAGAAATCATCCTTGCATCCCAGAACATCTTTAAACTTACACATCATTGTATTAATGCCATTCATTCTCTTGTTTACTGAAGTACCTTTGTCATCCAATTCATGATGAAAATTTGGAGTCAAGTACTTAAACTCAATAACCTTGATGGCTTCGTCCGAGTTGATTGAGTCTTCTGAATCAAATTCTTAATTCATTTTATTTATTGTCAGATTATGATTTTTGCATTGGTCTCTAACTAATTAGATTACTCTTTAGGGGGTCTTAAAGTTTGAATTTATAATTTAATACCCCACTCATTAAGATTACCTAAATAGTAGTGAACCTAATTAAACCAAAATGAAATCAAATAAATAAGAAATCATTAATATTTCGTGGAATCTTGAAATTGGTAAATGATGTTATTTCAATCAATAAATTTAATTAAATTATATTCAAAACTAATAGGTGCATACACTGCAAAGTTTTAGATTTTCATTATTTTCATCATAATACTTTCTGAATTTTAAGGTTTCCATACTCTTTTAGAATGGAGCCTCTCTTAACATCAATTTGAAGGGTTGTATTTTCTAAGTTTTTTATGGATGATTGAGTAAATGCTTCATACTCCTAATTCCATCAACTAGTCTTTTGAAATACAATTTTTAGAGCACTTGATACCCTCTATTGACTAACTTGTGTTCTCTCTATTTAACAAATTTCAATAATTTTAAACCCTAAAAAGCCAAATTCATCAATCTCTTTTTTTATTGACGTTACCTTTTTTGTTTATTTTGTTCTAAGACTCTTTTCATAGCATAAAACAAACTGGATAAATAGACAACTTGTGGATAGTCCAAAAATCTAGTATCTTCTTATTCTGGGTTATTGATTCTACTAAAAAACCTTTTCATTCTTCTCCCGAATATCCTTTCTAACACAACACTTAAAGATTAGGCTTTTCTCTATCTTAAGATCTCGCATTTGATATCAGAGTACATCCGAGTGGTGGTCTTCTGTTCTTCCAGAGGTTAAATTTCATCTTCTCTTGGGGACACTTCAGGTTTCTAAGGTTTTAAATTTAATTTTTAAGGGGCTGGTTCTTCTGATACTTTCTGTTTCTTACGTAGAGTTCTCACACTCTAAGGGACACTTTGGATGGCAGTTTGTTTTAGATAGGCAACTTGAGAGACCAAGTTTTTGAGTTCAGTTAACTTCAAAGTGGCTATTTATAGGATGGATTGTATGTATTCTTGTCTAAAAGGAAAGACTGGGAAGTATTGGAAGAACAACTCTTTTTCATAATCTGGGATTGTCCTTTATTTTCTATAGGTATTGGAGATGACTTCTTAACATTTGATTTTATCCTTTAGAAATGTTGGTACTGTCTATAGTATTTTTTGAGGTTGTTCTTGAGGAATGAGATCGTCATCCTTGGGGTATAAATCAGAGGAAATGTGCAATTAGGGTTTCTGTATGTTAAGAAACACTTTATAATAATTGGTTTTATCTCCATCGTTTAATCTGATCAAGTAATCAATGAAGGCAGCATAATGATTGGAAGATTAGAGTTTGATGACATCTTGGAATGTTTCATAGTGTATTTTCTTCATTTCTTTGGTTTGAACTTAATCAAGTTCTTAATTATATTGGAGTGATTGAAGTAATTTGGACAAATTCTGCAGAGTGGATGAACTGAGGAATGACAACATTCTATCAATGAATTGCCAATCAATCTGTAATAAGAGGTCATTAGAGACTATCTTTAATTGTGACCTCTGATCGATCTCTTTGGTTGCACTCCTTAAGGATAGTACTTTTTATATGTTTAACATCTAGTTGTTAAGTTAATATATCCACGGAATTAGCCATCTGGATACTACTTCAGCCTGAATTCTTTGCGATTTAACTATTCTCATGTCGACTGCCATTCCATCGAGTCTCTTGAGTTAGCGAAATAGGTGATAACACACATCATGATAGTCGTAAACGGTGAAGGGATTCGAATGGATTGATAAGTATTAGAGATTCCTATTCACTTTTTTGAGTTCATTGATATCAACCATTTGATTGTTTGATAGAGACAAGCTCTTTAACTATTTGAATTATTCAATGCCATCCAAATTGGATATGTTGTTGTGACTTATATGAAGATGCTATAAATTTAGAAAAGGTGAGTTTTGAACCAATTTTCCTATTCTGGTAATTTATCTCGAAGATAGATTCAAGGTTTTATTGAACTGACTTGGTAGCAGTTAACATAATTCCATAATAATTAAATATTTATACGAATTATCTGTAATTAAGATGATTAAGCAGACTATGAATTTTTCATTAAAATAAAGGAGAACTCAATCTTTGGAACCTGTACTGGATGAGGAAGTGTTTGGAGAACTGAAGAACGAACAAGACTTTGAGATGAGATTGCAATAACTGAATGAGATCCAACAAATTCATTAAATGACTCAGAGTTCTGGAATTTCAATGTCATCGAATCGGAGCAAGCCTGCTAAACATTAGATGGTGGAGAGTTACGCCCATTTGATTTAGGAGATGGTTCATAATAAGGAATTACAGTAATTCTGCCACTAATTCGGATTCTCAATATAGGAATTGGAACAATATAGTTCGATTGAGGAGAGACAGAATTTCGTAGTTGCAGCTATGTGCAAACACATAAAGGAATAGATGCAGAGTATGAGTATTATTAAATAGGTTTTATGACTAAGGTTGAATTGAGAATGCATTAATACAGAGTTGATGAATGGAATGAATTACAAAAGATGAACAAACAAAACATCAATATTTTCGAATGGTTGAATGTGAAATCCAAATATGAACATCTACGTAAGAAATTGCAGTATGCTCTGATTGATAGCATAACTGCTACTCAAACCAAACAATAATAGGAGAAGAGAAATAGAACATTCAGTCAGTCCAATATCTCCCAGATAAGCAGGGCCAGTACAGCATGTGCTACTAGCAGTCGAAAAAGGTTGTCATCAATTCAAGAAGAAGTAACAGTCAATCCAAAGATACAGTTGGTATCTGAATACAAGGATTTTAAGGCTTAATGGAATGAGGATTTAGAGAAATAGTATAGATTGAAAGGCAAGTCACATAAGGTGCTCGGATTGTATCCTGTCATCTAGAAGGCTATCTTAGACAATGTTGGATAGAGTGTTTGGAATCAGTAGAGAGACAGGTTGCTCACTAAATACACTGAAGGAGGATGTCTAACGGAAGAGGAAGTCAAATTCATTGCCACCACATCCTAATTATTGAATAGTTGTACTGATAAGGAGTTTCTATAGAAAACCATCACACATTTGGATAAGAATATTATTGATGAAATTGAATTCAACATTGCTGAATGTATATTGGCAACGTACACAAATATATCAAATGATGTTAAATCTATTCGCTAGGTGTGGCTAAAAAAGATTAGTGCAAATCTAGAACAATAAGTCAAGGATACTCATTACAGTGTGATGAAGAAGATGCAATTGCAAAAGAGTTAAAAAGAACTTGAAAAAGTTAAAATGAAGATGGTTACGATCTTCAGAGACGTATAGAAAAGGCATCTGATGAAACTACAACAAGAATTAGACAAGGATCATTATATTTAATAATAGAAGGGTGTCAATAAAGTAATTCTGAAGTTCAAAGATAAATTAATGAAAAGAGTCAAAAAATATAGAAATTAAAAGAACATTGGAATTGCCAATAACTTCATTACCAGAAACATTCCCAGATAAGGGTCTCTGCTGTTTAAAATCAATAAAGAAATGAAGTCGACAGAATTTGTTTAACGTTTATTTCATCCGCCATCAAAATTGATTGTTAAGAATCCGCTGCCTGGGTCTCAAACCGATAGAGCTGTTAAGGAAGAAAAGAAATATAAACTCAGATCTACTAGTACAATCAGATAAACTGATTTTAAAAGGTATCTTAGTGGAGGCCCACAAACAGAACGATAGTTTGTTTCTAAAGCTTTGGCTGATTAAAATCAATAAAGGTTTAGTGGGCACAGGAACCCTCATGAATGGATTACCAGTGAAGTTGAAGTCATGGCTATCAACAAAATCAAAGCAGCTATTAGAGCTTATCTCTAAAGAAAGAAATACTCGAAATAGAAACAATTAAAATAAGAGTAGGAAGAATCAAAAAAGAATTTATTGGCTTCACTTGCCAAGAAGAATCCAGAGAGAATCAAAAGAATTGAATTAGAAGTCATCAATGTGATCAAAAGTTTAGCTCTCAATAAATAAAAGAGTTAATCAACTATGTATTCATCCAAATAAAGAATACAATCTGATATGAAATTGAAAACTAGAAAATTGTTCTAGGCTGCCAAAAAGAAATGTCTAAACATTGCTATTCAATCAGGTTTCATGTATACACCTGATGACGCAAATCAGAAGGATGAATTTGGCAGAACTCCACTTTCATACGCAGCTGAAAATGGAGATGAAGCCATTTGCAATTATCTATTAAAAATTGGAGCCAACGTCAATATTCCCAGTGTAGATGGAATGACTCCCATGCATTTTGTTTTTAAAAGCAATTCAGTTTCACTTATTATGAGATTCATTCATTTAGGGGGCAATTTAAATAAATTAAATAACGATGGATTGACACCAGTAGCCTTTTGCAATCAGGAAACCCTCAAGAAATTAAATCTAACTCAGATGATCTCCTCTTCTCATAAACAAGGATCATTTGATAATCACTCGATCTTGAATAAGAAATACCCTCAACAGTCAGAAATAATAGAAGCACTAGAATTTTCAGGCAATTTCAGTAAATTCTAATGAAAATTAATTTTATATACTATTCAATTTATATAAAGGCAATATTTACGTCATCTAACTATTTGGAACTGGATTTTAAATTGATATCGAATCCCACTATGATATATAAATTCTTAACTTTTTATGAATTTGCCGTTAGGATTCTAATTACAATTTTCCTGTTTAAATTGTAATCAATTTTCAATATCTTATCAATGAGTGAAGTATATCTCAAATGTTATTAGAGCAAGTTGATAATTTGTCCAATTTGAAATTATCTATTTTAATCATTAAACTACTAAACCTAATAATAAGATCATCGGTTACTTAGAATCATCATCTCATCTTAAAAATCATTCGGCTACTTTAAAAATAGTAAGATCCTTCAAAGAAAGCCACTTCTTTTAATTTTCAACCTTTTTAATGAATTAAATTTGATAATTACAAAGAGTATATCTTTTGAGTTAATTACATTCAACAAGAAAAGATATTAAACCTAGATTTATAATTTTTATAGTTTTATATAAACATCAATTTTCTTTCACATAAGATATATTGTTAAGGAATTGTATGTATTATTCTTCCATTTAATTATAAACCCTTTACCGACATTATCAGCTATTTAAACTCCGTATTTACTTTCCCATTTAATTTATTATTCATTTTTTAAAGGAGCATTTCTGCCTTTAACTTATAGAAAATACCCAGATAACTAAGGAGAACTGCATTGATAGGTGACAAAATCACTGTTTTCATTAATTATTAAAATAAACTTACCAACATGTATTTTCTATTCAACACATTTTAAGGCCATCCTTTCTAAGGATGCAATATCATTCGCCTTGTTTTGATCTTTTTATTGAAAAACTTGGGAATCTATAGTTTTGAAAACTGTCGCTGTGTTATTTGGTGGATTCACAAATGGATTCATAAATGGTTATGGTTTTGGGGGTTATTACCTTTTTTGAATTTCAAAGTTGGATGGAGGAAATACACTCTCTTGTATTTGTACTTTATTATTATTAAATTTATTTTAAGGCTTACTCTATAATGAAAAAATTGGGAATTAATTTTTTTTAATTTATAGACCAGATGGTTAGAGAGTTCCTTAATTGCCTTGTGGTCGAATTGGGTTTTATGGGAATTGAAATTGAGGGAAACCGTTCTTTTATTGTAGTTGAACTTATGGTTCCTGCCCAGTTGTAGTAAAGTGTATTAATAATTGAGGATCCGTATCTGAGGGACTGATTAGTTTCAACATTTGCATTTGTATCATGGATGCCAAGATTTTGGTTTGATCAAGGTCTGTCACTATGATAGAATTTGGCATTTTTACTATTATCTCTTTCTATTTGGCTTCTTGCAATACCTAGAGATCACAGTTGTATTACTTCATCGAATGAGTAATCCGAGTTTAATATCACTCCCATATTCAATTCAATTCCATCCTATTTAAACCAACAAGTCACTTTTGGAAAATAGGAAGAGTCATATGTTAAATCAACTCTTTTTGCATAAATAATGTTTGTTTATCTTGCTTAGCAGAGTCTTAATGATGAGTCAATCTCTTATTTACATTCTTTGTCTAAAAAAAGTTAAACATCGTAATTCAGGCATTAAGCACACTTTGTTTTTATGTCTTAGACCCCCTGGAAATTCAAGGGTACTTAGAATGATTTAATTTGCTCTGGAGGTAATGTCTACACCGTAATGCAATTAAACATAAATTAATAGAATTTGGGTTATAATTTATTTTATATTATATTGCTGTTCTATTTGAATCTCAAGTTGGATCAATACTATTTAGATTTATCTCAATTATATGAGTATTTAATAAATGATTTTATTCTACTTGTATTAATTAATCGATAGAGTGACAACTGAAATTCTAATTATTGACTAATAAGTAAAGATGTATATATTCTTATGTGTTTATAATATTATAAATTTTTCGAAAGAAAATTGATTTCAGTAATTTATTGCATTTTAAATAAATCTTTATAAAAATAATCAACTTTCATTGGCATGACAATTTTAGTGGAAAAGAAAAGAAATGAAAAATATCAATTATCTAAATTGTAATAATAAATTAATGAATTTGATTACATTGAAATTTAAAGATTAAATCCTTGAAAAATAATATTAGGAACTCAAAACAAAATCTATTCGTAAACCAATTTACTTTGGGATATATTCATTTTGTTTTTGTCTCAATGCTTTTAAAATTACAAGGGATTTAATCTTGCAAGAGTCATAGCAACTACTATACATAAATTACGTACTTTTGGCATTTATGGTGTTGTCCATAATCTTGATAGTCCAAAATTAGAACTTCGTAAAATAGGTTCTGTTGATATCGAATCTAGTATCTGGACTGCTTCAAATGAACTTTAATGAATAGTAAACTTAGAAACAAGAATACTATTCCTTCGGAAGTAGTTTTGCGTAATTGCAGGCAGCGTCATATTTCGTATCGGATTTTTTAGATGGAATACTGTAAGTTGGGGGTCATTTGATTATGAAGGTCATGATTACATCACTGTCAACTAATAAAGTGGACGCACTAAGCTCAAGCTTTGCTGTAACAGGCTCTGTATTTATTCTCGTTACAATTTATATTTGTGATTGCAGTTCAAGAAAGTAATTTCTTTCCACAGTGTGCGAAGGCATTTGGGATCAATAATTGCCGCATCTTATATAAAAACCATTCATTAAACTCAGTTACTCAAATACCATAATCAATATATTGCAAAGTCATCTCATAGAGGCATTCCCCAGTTTCACAAACGAATTATGCAATGGATGTAATGGAAGATAATTTTTAAGAGATTGTTAGATTGACAAAGTTACATTGTCACATCGCATTCTTAAACCAATCGATATCCTGAATAAGACGGTCTAGGCAAATTACAGATGTCACAGATTCAATTTGAGAGTGTGTAAGTATGGTGTGGAGAACATGAATTTATTAGTAATTTTGGAAAAAATTATTACAACCACTCAAACCAAAGTGTTCCCGTCTGAAGTCAGAGAGGATCTGAGTAGGCAGATACGAATCAACCATCAAGACTGCTTACGTTTCTTTAATTGGGGCTTGCTTTCTCTTGTCCTTCTCAACAATCACGAAATAAAGCAAATTAAATTGTTCCTTATGATTAAAAGACTCAATAAGTGTTATCGCAATTATTTGTTACCAATTTAACTTTTTACAAAATAGAATGAAGATCTCCAACTTAATACGTATGCCAACTTATTGCGGATATATCTTATTCAAATATACCACATTTTGATTGAGCTCTATTCCAAGTCCTACCGAACCAGAATTTAAGTTAGAGAATGTGATGAATATATTGAACTCCATATTTTGATAAATTCAAGTATGTTTCATACTCTTTATCAAAACAATGTTTTTATCTAAAATATAGAGAGAGTAATCCTCTATGAACCCATATCAAAGGATTTAAGAATACGACTAAGTAAACAATTATCTTTTAAATGATTATTATTGGTTGTGTAATGAAATTTATTACAAAAACGATTTAATTCGATTGTTCCACAAATATCTACCCTGATATAATTATTCTTATTATTAATTTCTATTCTTATATCGAATGTCCATACTCTCAGCAATTAGTACCCAAACAATTTACGGAAAAAGAGTGAGATAAAAAAAGAGTCTCAACATGAACTTTTAACAATTAAATTTGTAGATTAATTTGAAAAGGTATAATTTCAGCCTAAAATTAGACTTATTAAATTCGCTATCATCGATTCATTTAACATGACTTCTTTCATATTTTACTCATGATATGTCTCTATTCCAAGTTAATATAGATATAATATTAATATTAAAAATTTTATGGGTCTAAAATATTATAATCAAGTAAGGTGTTTATTTTAATCTTTCATTCATTCACTATATTCCTGCCTACAAATTCAGGTAAACTATAATTCAATCATTATATTCAAATTGATTTTAGTATCTTTAGATATATTGTATTATATTTAGAAAAGAAGTTAAGTGAGATCCTAAAATATAACTGGTAAAAATAATCATTTATAACAAACTAAATTTATAGTTGGTAAATAGGAGGGATTATGACAATTCGTATTTTGGGCAATTTAGATTCATTTAGGAAAATACATTAGGAAACCTATAGAGTCATAATTTCATATTGATGTTTTGGATCCCCTCTCTACCATAAATTAGAAATATTGTATATTAGTATAATTTCTGAATTGATGCTTATATATTATACAATCTTGAACTCGATCCTTTCTTATGCATTTTATTCATTCAATGAGAACTTATGTTAGTTCTTAGAGGGTTTTAATTGAATATCAATAAATTTATCATATATATTATATTGAAATTTTATTAAATGTAATTCTGGGTGAATTTAATGCTTGGTTAAATTGAAGCGAATAATAAATGAGGACTGGGGCAATGAGGGGATTAATATCAAATAATGGTAGTAAATAGGTGATAACAATCGGAGGGTGGGGTAGAAGATGTAAATTGAATGCTCATGCAAAATTATATATATTTGTTGTAATGTACTTAAATTATAATCTCATTATTTCTTGGGGGCTGGTGCTTTCTTTTAGGCTTATGGCTTGTCAGCGGCGGCAGCAGCAGCGGCAGCTTTTTAGGCAGCGACAACTTGAGCATTTACAGTGAAGATGTATTATTTAGAGTTTTAATCTCCGGCTGGTACCAACAAACCTGATTTTGCGAAATGTCTAATGCATCTTCTTGCCAATGAACTTTAAGAAGGTTTAAGAGACCAATAAATACCCATTAACTTTGAATTTATCTGATACTGTAGAGACTGTGATCAATGCACCCATTTTTGGTAATTAGGTCTCAATTTATTTGTAGGATGTATTGTCCAAAAAGACGGCATTGTTTAATTTATCCTTTGCTCTTCCCTTAGTCCACTTCTAAGCAAGTAATGATGGAACAATATTACCTTCTTTGTTTATTTGCTTCTTTGGGAGGCTGCCTTAGAAATCTAATCCTTGGTTTTCTTTTAACCTTAGGTTGGTTGTTTTCCCTAAACTATAATTTATATTGTGTTACCATGATTTTAAATCTTTAATAAAATTTTTGAAATTATTTTAATCGAAATCGATGTAAAATGTCACATCTGCAAGTAGAAACAGAAACAGAATAGGATTTGTAATTTCAATTCGAATGTGATAAGCAGAGGAATACAGGAATACTAATGACATATCCAGAAGGAATGAACAAGATTTTGAGATAATCAATGAAGCTTAATGACTATAGTATGAGAGAATATTAAGATATTAAAATCAAGGAATCATGAGATGTATAGACATAGATGAAATTGTAATATGAGAGATATTTAATATGTTGTTGAGAGTATTTATTAGTTATAATATATAATTATAAAATCATGGGAAACAAGGAACTGAAGGTGCTCAATTATAATCCTCAAGATCCAGACTTAATTTAATTCAGACAACTGTACATGCGTTATCCAAAGTAGAGCAGTGTCAAGAAATCATAACTCATTCAAAATACTTAAGAGCTTCTAGAATACGAGATCGTGATTCACAATGAGGCATTTTCTGAAGTGTTTGAGCGTAATCATTACATCAATCTCAAAAAGACTTAGATGAGAGTGGACATTGATTTAACTAGATTCTGCAGTGGCTATCACGGTCAACAGATGAGATTGCTTGGTTACAATACCATATTAAATGAAAAGAAATCCGTCGGCAAATTCATGCGACTCAAAGACTTCGTTGAATTAGTGACAGAGAATCAAAAGATTCGAATCTTAGATCTAAGTGATCATTCCTTTTAATTTACTCGCAAACTCAATCCAGAAGACAAATTGCAAATAGAATACAGGTATATACTTAAACATGAAATACTGTAAAATAATGTTCGAATATTATCCTTGTAACTTAATCCAGAATGTCCATATAAAATATCAATCACTACGCCCGAACTTTCATCAGTGTTATCGCCCACTCATAAATTACAAATTAACAATAATCATATCCAATGCAATTTTTATAAGGGAACAGACTCTTCCTTGTTTATTTTGCTATTTACAATAAAGCCAGAATTGATATGCACTAAGATACAATTCGGAGCTCCTGGATATTCGATCAATTAAAAATATTGCATGTACTTGAATCTTCCATTGCCTACCATATTGTATGAGGAAATGATTTATTTTAATTGTGAGGATCCACAGAAAAATTAAGAATAAGAAACTATGGAATCTATGCCATCTTATTCAAGCATCACTCCAGAATCTATAAATTAACATTATTGGCCTTACTTTTTCAACATCACTCCAATTACTAATTAAAGAAACATAACATTCTTCTTGGATCAAAGCAACTCTATGGAAGGAACCAAAATCATGTTGGCTAAATAGGGATTGCAACTATTCATTCGATCTTTGCCTTCAGAATGCTACTTCAATATTTACAGTTTTGGAAGCAAATGGAGAAAGATATTCCAAACCTATTAAAAGATCTGCGAACCAGTTTTAAAGTAATGCGAAAAAGAAATCAAAATGATGGAGGGCAATATGGGAAGTACATTCTTATTGGGTGCTATGAATGATGCATTGTTAAATTCAGTAAAGTCATCTGATGCTACATGGTTTATATTGACAGATGGTCGAATAGCTGAAATTGAAGAAATATTTGCCTTATTAAAATCTAATCCTCATATTCGAGTGTTCTCTTTGGGATTTGGATTAGAATTCGATTAGGAAATAGTGGAGTAATTAGCGAATCAAACTAATGGGAGGTAATGTTATTATCGATATTCTAGTTGCACCTTCTGTCAACATGTCCAGTCCTTGAACTCTTAAATGATCTAATTATTGCAATTGGCCCTATTGCCAAAGTTTAAAATGAACGTGAAATTTGACAGTCATTTACACATTACTACCATGTATCCAAGTCCTAACAGACCTTAGAGAGAACTACTATGCTACCTAGATAATCAGCAGTTGCAGGACTAATCAGAAATAGAATTAGAAATTAATTTCGGAAATGAGAATGAACCTCAGATTATTTAACAATACAAATGCAATTTGAGAGATATTCAAACCAATTACTTGTTACATCTCTACGGATACATCTAAATCTTGGAGAAGATCTTAGATGAAATTTGGTACTCAGATAGTATATCCACTATTTTATGCAATCAACTTAAGAATTCATTCGATATTAACAATCCATTACTATTGCTATTCTTTAATCCACTTAACATACTCATGATTGATAACTGTGCTGTGATCTGCAACATCAATATCGAGAATCTACAGAAATTGATTAATGAACAAAAGAAATCTCGGGATTACTTGGGTCTGTTGTTGCAATATATAAGCGATCAAACTTATGAATAAGCAATCAAATGTATTAATGCGAATGAAAAGATCTCCGAGGAATCCGTTTCCATTGAGATGGGCTCCAGCTATACTTAAGCCAATTAAGACTATCTGATTAAGGTCATCCAAACACAACAGATTGATGGATCTTTTATGGATCAATAGGCTCTAGCCCTTGTTTGTCCGAGCTAATCTATGAATGCTATACTAGCTAAAATGCCAGAATCCAATCAAAGCTAATCCCTTGTTAATGGCAGATAAACATAATAATTGCCTGATTTCATATTAACTCAGATCTGGGTGACTGCCTTAGTGATTGCATATTTGAAAAAGTACTAAAGGCAACAAAGAGGCTAATGGATCATTATATATATCAAAGCTATTAATTTTATCAAACAATATTTAAAGAATTGGCAATCCCTATTATACAAGGCCAGAATTGAATTAATAAATGCAGGTCTTAAATGAAGCACAAAATATTGATAATAAATAAATTCATCATCTTTGCCTATTATATTTGAACGCATAAAATTATGTAATTAATTATAAAATATCTATTGATAATTTTCTTTTTATGCTGAAAATGATATCCTGACATTTATTAGTCTAAAGCTTATGAAAATTAAGTGATTATCCATTGTATTTCTGAACAAAAAATAATAATTTTAATATGAAATCTGAGATAATCTTGATTCTCAACTTTTCTTTTCTCAATATGTAATTATAACAAAACATAAGAAGTCATAATTCAAATCCACCTTTTTCCTATAATTAGCTATGAGATTTATAAGAGTAATTATTGATAGTCCTTAAAAAATCTCAGAGGTTCTTTAATACTAAAAAAAATTATTATCCAAAAGATCAATAAAAGCTAGAATATACTAATTTATATGTTGATGGTTATATTAATTGAATGAATATCTGAATTAGAAATTTTTATTTCTATTAAAATGAATTTTGGTTCACATTTTTCTCTTTCTGCTTTCAAGATCAGAATGAGAAAACCTTTAGTTGTTTTACTTATATAAATGATATAATCAAATGAAAATTGCTTGGATTCATTAAAATGATATTAAATAGAAGTTTAAGTTATGTAGATTATTCAATTATTTTAATGCTAAGATACTGTATAATGTTCAATATAATTCAGCAAGAGAAATAGAGTCATTCAGAGTAGCTCTAAACTCTATTTAGTTATGAATGATTATCTTTTAGAATTGGGATGCAATATGCTTCTTGAACTTTCTAAACATAATTTTAATACACTTTATTGTTGATAGTCAACAACAAAATAACAATAAGAGATATTAAGAATTCTTAATTGGAAATGCACAAATATTTCATTCGTTCAGGGCATTAGTTTCATTTTCAAGGTGAGGATCATAACTAAAGTCATCTATAGGTAAGCAATTAAGAGGACTGTTTTAAAATCGATCCTCGTTTTTAATGGGATTCAAAGACTCTTCCTATTCTACTTTATTCTTTTAAGCTACATTCTCAAGAGGAGATTGTAATTGACCTTGAGAGAGCGCAAGAAAATCGATGTTCTAAAAGAAATTGTGGCGTTTGAGATCATCAAATGATTTAGCTCCTAATCTCTCTTTAGGATTGAATCTCAAAAGACTAGAAATTAGGCTGCGAGCATTGCTTGAGATTTTTGGAGAATAGATGGGTTTGTTTTACATAATGAGCTTGTAGAATAAAAGAGAAGAATATACATTTTGTATGGTGCATACATTTCGATCTTCACAAGTAAAGGGAGCATTGCCTGTAAGCATCTCATAGATAAGTATTCCTAAAGTCCAAAAGTCAACTTCATAGGTATGGCCAGATCGAGCAATAATTTCAGGTGCCAAATACTCAGGAGTTCCCGCAATCTAAATATTGATATTAATTTATATACTGTGTATGTGTGTTCATCCTTGATGTAGGTGGCTAATCCAAAATCAGTTAACTTTATGTGTCCAGTTTCTGTGAGTAAAATATTTTCAGGTTTCAGGTCTCTGTATATAATTTTGAGTTGAGTGTGGAGATATTCCAGTGCCAAGATGATCTCGGCAACAAGAAATTTCACTACTTTTTCTGGTAATGCACCATTCTTTTTTAAAACTCTATGTAAATCACCTCCTGACACATAGCTAATTTATAATTAAAATTAATTTACTCCATCACGAAGTAACATCTTGAGGATGTCTAAAAGGCATATCTCAATTTGACAATAAATGGACATTCACTGCTTTTCAATACAAATCTTTCCAAAAAATTAACTGTTTCTAAATTATGATCTGATAAAGTTTATTTTTTTAATTCCTTCATGGCATATATCTATCCGTTGTCCTTTTTCATTATCTTGTAGACTGACCCAAATGCTCCCTATGTATATTAATAATTTAAACTTTGCCAATTAATCCTAAATTTAGAAAATCATCTCGATTTACTTTCCTCCTTTTAGGTGAGGCACTCTAAATGGTGGGAGATTCATCAAACACAGGACCAACTTCAAATTTATCCAATGAGCTTATCCTGGTTGGTGAATTACTTGCCTCACACATATTCCCCATGATTTTATATTAATTATAATTTGTCGTATTTTATAATAAAAACAAGTATATAAATTTAATAATAAATCATTCATTAGATAACAATTTATAGCTTTGATTCAAATGATGCAATTTATTTATTAATGAATCAATTTTTGAATTGTTTTCCTTCATTCTCTCAGATGACAATTTGCTCTCCTACTTTTTTGTTCCAATAAAACTACTTCTATTTAAGTCTCGTTAAAATAGACCACTCTATTCAGTAGTTTGATTTCGATATTATTACATGATGTCCTTCATCTGTCTAATTTGGCTATCCTCCTCTTCTTTTAGATTGCTGAAATCCATTTCATTCACCTGTGTATGATTAGTCTTAGGCAGAAATGAGGACTCCTGAGACCTAAAACTCTTGTCGCCCATTTGCTATTCTATAAAACTATTATGCAAAGTGACTTCTCCAAATTCCCTCACTTTCTCTGAAAATTCCTTCAGCTATTATTTGACTTGTTTGCTATCTTGTAAATTCCATTTATCATCTAAACAAACTATTAATTTATTCAATAATTGTAATTAATTATTCATTTGATCATACATCTTTTTTAGTTCCTTGCTGTTCATTTGCATAGATCCACTCAAATTACTTTTGCTTGACTTCTTAGAATTAAAACAAGATGTCTTCTCTAATTTATGAAAGATTTCTTGCATAACTTCTCTATCATTATTAGTTAATTTATCATCTTCAACTTTCATAATGGCTTTGGAAGTAGTCTTAAATAATTTTTATTGTTCTAAGATATTGCACAAATATTATACAATTATTAAGATTGCTTAGTATTTAATTTACATGATGATCTCCACGAAAGCTAACATTATTACTTTGAGGATATATCACATACGTTTAAGACTATTATGGTTGACTGTTTATAACATATTATGGTTATTACACCAAGGTGCTTACTGGTACTGAGAAGCTTTGATTACTTAGGTATTAGTTGGGTTATTATCGAATTGGAGGACAAGAAACAGCCTGTTGAGTTTGGATTCTGTGTTGGATTGGAGAGTGCTTAGCCTGGAGTTTAAATTGGTTAGTGTTAAAGTCATCGAATTTATTAGGGGATCTGGATACTCGAAATTGTTGAGTTTTATAGGAATAATATTATGACTCGGATTTGTATTGTTATGTAGAGTTGTCATCAAATATTGGTTTCTTACATATTGGTGCTGAATGATCTACGAACTCTAATCAAAAGTAATACCTCTTTGTTATTTGAATGGATTGATTTACTCTAATCTATTCCTTATACCATTGGCTTCACAACATCCCATTATCGTTAATTTAATAATAAAACAGAAATATTAATCAAAATTTAAGTAAATTTATTTGATATTAAATGAGTTACTTTATAGTTGTTAGGTTTGTTTAGATTACAGTTTTTTGGTGTTCTTTATAATATACAAAAGAATAAAATACGATTAATAATTTATTAAGTTTAAATAATAATAATTTTAAAATCACATAGACATGTAAACAAACATGAACGGATCAAATATGAAGAGTCAATTGAGAGTATCCTCTTTGTCAGAGAAGGAAGAAGCCTAAGAAACCTTGGAAAGTACAATTTAATTTTGATTAAGTAATTCATGAGATGTCCCAAATTCTGAATTGCGGATTGGATAGATAATAATTAGCCATTTTAGTTAGTATGATAGAAAATGGTGTGAATCCTGAAGCTTTGGCCTTGGTTGTAAATGAGATGAAAACGGAGCTGAACACATACAAGAAAATTCATAAATAATGATTTTATATTCACTTTTTCACAAAACTAAATATAGTTGATTAAGTTTATTTAAGTGCTTTTTCTATCGATTTTATTGATTACTTTTTTTGTGTCGATTGATCTTGTGTAGGTTTGCTTTTTATCTAAGGTAATACAAAGTAAATACATACTTAACTTAAGCATTATGTGTTAGTAACTTTGGATTTGATGGAGAAAGGGTTGAAAAATTCAGATGAACTTCCATTAGACTCAATTTCATCATTATTATTATTGTGCTAAGTGATTTACACTTACTTTTGTTATTGCTTCATGCCTTCCTCATTCTCATCATCTCCTTATACGATCTCTAAGTCATCTACATTTTATTGATTGTGCTTTTCTTGTTAATCAAAAATCTCTTCGCATAACTTAAATATGTTTAACTCCTCCTTCTATGTACGTTTTGCTGGCAAAAATTACTATTCTCTTATAATATTGGCAGGTTTTTCAACAAATTCTGGTAGATTATCAATATCTGCAGTTTATAAAAATTATTAAACTCTTTGCTTAGCTTCAATATCTACAATCTATTATTTCGAATTTTCCAACCTCCTTTCAATCCTTTTAAATAATTAAGGAAAGTCTATCTTCATTCTTTCTCTGAAAACCAAAGTCTTAATGTCCAAATCCCCATTACAGAATTGAACCTGCAGATTCTCTTAGATTCTTTCACCCACCAATTGCTAAATCTAATCAAGAGGCAAGAACTAATCTTATTCAAGTGTCTCTAAAAAACCATCATATTTCTCCTGATTTAATTACACCCATTATTTCTTAATCGGACAATACACTGTTTGAAATTAAAAGATCAATCTCGTGGCTTTGACTATTTTCTCATACTCCTCAGGGATCTTACCATTAAATTATTTAACCTTTTTCAATTTACTAATTGTATTACTAATGTCATCGTATTTAGACATAAAATCAATCGCTTTTCTTATTCCCATACCCCTAATTGATGGAACATAATCACATCCACTCATAATACACACATCAATCAGTTGTTCATTCTTGAAGGCTAGAAATTATCTTATGTCATCGCTTTTAATATGTGCTCTATTTTAGCGAGATTCTCTTAGTTTCTATAACTCCAATTCAAAGCAGGCTCCGTTGCTTTACAATTTAAAAACAATCAACGGACATTGATAACAAATTAAATCACTCTGAAAGACATATAATTAATTAATACATCTTCTGTTATGGCGAAGTCACACTACCCACTTAAACACATATGGGCAATCTAAGCATCAGCCTCATATGGTGCTATTATGTATTATACTTCTAATTCCCTCAACACATCAAATGTAGTGTACATCATTTACTTACGTATTTTTAAACATCTTTGAAAGTACTTTTTAGCCTCATCTGTGTTTCCACTCTCCTACAATTCTTTTGCTTTTAATAAGTTTTGCTGTTTGATTTACTTTCGCATCTATTCAGTCTTCTCTTTAGCTCGCAAATTGCGACCATCAAATATTAATATTGGAGTTATCTCATACTCTTTCAACATTATCAACTAACCATCATCACAAATCTCATTACCATTTTTTGCACATAATACAGATAATCATTGGTTTTGATGTCTTGATTCAATTCATGAGCACACGAATAACATCCTCGATAAAGCCAAGACATAGCATCAATTGCAGCAGTCTTTCCACGGTAAAAAGTAATGCATCGTTCAACCAAAGCTGGTTTAAGAAAATTCAGCAAATTCTCTATTCCCATTTAAATTTAATATAAAATTTATTATCCCGCCTTTTTCTCAATAATTAATATAAGTCACTTATTGCATGCGATTAATTATATAATGCATCAAAATACCTTACAATACATTACAAAAGCAGAATCATATAAGTATATTTGAACTAAAAATAACTTACAAATATATTTGAAAGAACAAAATTAATTAATCTTTTTGTTATTAGGTTAATATTTTAATAATAATAATAATAATAATAATAACTTTTTTTTTTAATTAAATTAGTTTAGTTAAATTTGTTATTGATAGTTATGCAGTAATTCTCTCGCAAAGGTATATATCTATCTTTGTTCCAAAACCATTTTGTAGTTCAAATATGGATACAAATTCTAATTCTAGATTTGTATTACATTTTAGAAAAAGTCTTGAAAATAAAATGTATATGACTTATAAAATTAGAAGTAATAAATTAAAATAAGATTTGAACTCTATTATTAATTGAGTATTGTATAGATCATTTTTTAAAATTAAAAAAGTCTACAGGCAATCCTGCTTTTGCAGTTTTGGGGATTGATGTTTGTTTTGTTCTTTTTTCTGATAATTTGATTTTGAGTTCTCTTGTCGAGAGCATAAGCAAATCAAGGATTTTATCTGGGACATCGGTTTTGAGTTTGGTGTTCTTATTTTAATTTTCATTTCTAATGTCCAAGTTGAGATTGGTGGTTTCATCTGTCTATTTATATAGTGGATAAATTTGTTTGCAAATGGATTTAATTTATTCTTTGGATTGAATTTATTTGGATGTCAGAACAGGAGTTCTATAACAAATGATTCTGTCGCTGCAAATTTATGTGTCAGGTTCAGTTTTTATAACAGTTTTATCTTTATTAAAGCTTTGGTAGTCAATAATTTATTATTGCTTGGGAGATTGATAGGAATTAGAATTTAGTTACTGTTTAACCATGTAGCCATTAATAACTTTGGATTGTTTGGGTAGTTATTTAATAGCTTAATTGATTGATTATTGGATTGCTTCGACGTCTTGTGATTTTTATCTTCGAGAGGAGTGTAATTTGGTTGAGGTAATGTTTTTCTGGCTTTTGAATTTGTGTTAGTTAATATGGGGATCCTTGTTACTGTGCAGGGATTGATTTACATGTTTTTTGGATTTAAGTAATTTTAATCTGATGATAATATATAAATTTATACTAATCAGCAATATTGTCAGCATTTCTGTTTAGACATGCTTACTATGGAATGTGGTAACTAATTTGGTGGGAAGGTACATAATATCCATGATTCATATTATTCGAAAATATTAAAAAAATTAATCAATGTAAAACCGAATTCGATAAAAGTGCATGTAAAAAATCTATTGGGAATTTGGTTCTTGCCACCTAAGGGAATTAATAATTTGTTGGGTTGTCTTATATTACTTTTAGAGTTTGGAATTTTGTTTAATTCTGTGAATATCCTTTTTAAATCTAGAGTTGATAGACATAACAAGTCTAAAATTTTCTCTTTGATTTATAAATTGCATTGATGTTCATTTAATTTGCTTTGTTTGATGACTTGGAACAATTGACTATCCTGATCTAGCTAATAGATTATTTGTTCATCTTAATTACCACCTGTTGTAATTACTGCAATTAATTGAGTCTCACCTTTCGAAACAAAGCAGAACCATTAACAGTTGGAATATATGAGTTAATTTTTTCTATTTTTTATGTATTTTATTGTAAAAAGTGTTTTGCCAAAGTAATAAGCCATCTCTACCTTTGATTAGATTCCTAGAGTCACCAAAGCTGATATAAATTCATCTGTAGAACATTCTGGTATTTCCCTTCAATTATTACCACAGATACATCTTTGATAACTGTAATAATTTCAGATTTCATCTTCTGAAATATCATACCTTTCACCATACAAAGTGAGCCTTGAAATGGGAGATCAGAAAGCTTTACATCAGGAGATACCCAAGTGATGTAGTCATCTTAGGATCATAAGAAAGAGTTATGCATGATATCCGAATTTCGGCTTCAGTAAAATCTGAGTGAATAATGCTATTGTAAATAAAGGATGAAATTAGATGTCATTTATTGTTTACAAGGTTTCCATAGTTTTTAATTGTTGATCAAATTTATGGGATTGTATCTTTCTACATTTTTAGGTAGATATATTTTATTTATCACTTTCCTACACACTCTTTTAAGATTAACATTCATTTATATATGATTGAGATTTCTAATGAACATTAATAACGCACGCTTGAGACATGAACAGATTCTCGCTTGATGCAAAGTAATAATGGTTTTCTGGCTGAAATCTTAAAATATACCGTTCAGAGGAAGGGAATGTTTTCTCTGAAGGAACAAGAAGAAAATTATCAAGTGATAGAGCATTCCTTTTCACTATCTATAGGCGTTGAGTATTTATATTGTCTCATCGTTTATGGGGAACCACGGGATTTCCCAAGGTCTTATTTGGATGATACTGAAATAATAGGGTTTTCTGAAATGAGAGAGAAATTTAAGTAAGAGTCGTTGCCTATTTTGATAGAAGAAGCACAGAGAATATTTACAGATGATAGATATCTGTCATTAAGAACTCCTGATCACCCTAATTTTATAGAAGGTACACAGAAAATATTAAACGATCGTAGATACCTATTATCAGGAACATAAAGCAATCCATTCGGAGATTCGTTGTTAAATCTTACTCTTCAAAGGAGTATAAATGGAATTCCAAACAAATTCAATTCATCAAAGGACCTTCATACCACTACCTTCACTAATTCAGATAGAGGAAATCTTATTCTTAAGTTGTAGAAATTTTGGCATCAGCCGAAAACAATTTAAGAGAACCTTTGATTATAGAAAATGGTATCATTCTTACCACTACGTTTTAAATTAGAATCTAAGATACCATAAAGATCTTCTCAAATTTAATTGACAGTGCTGTCAAATTAATTAGATTTAACAACACATATCCGATGTTTATATTTGGAACTCTTTTGAAAATAGAATTGATAGTCAATTCTAATTTACTTATCCTACTGTTTAAGGTAGAATTTACCTCTTAGTTTCTTAAACAATTTCATGATCTCATAGCTTAATATGAAGCTATCATTTAATCTGTATCCAAATTATCAAAGACTTTGTAAATTGCAGTAAATATTTTTCATTTAATTGACATTTCTCTTACATAATTTCTTTTTAGTTTAATTGTATTTTTAATTTAAATTAAATTAATTATATTTTAAATGATTAACAACATAATT